TAGAGGCGCTTTGGATGCGTTTGAGACGGCGTTCAATTCTGCGTGCATCAGTCTTGCGAGGGGAGAGTATGGACAAGCTTTGGTACTGCTGAAAAGATCGAAGGGTATGTTGTATTCAAGTATAAAGCAATTGAGAACTGTATTGACTAGAGTGATCATAGATCTTTGCAATGCTCTCGAGGACTTGTCGGACGAGGAAAAGAAACTGGAATTGACCCCCATTATCGCCCAAGAAGTATGCGCTCTCATCAACCTCGGACGAACCGAGGACGCAATGGCCCGCTCCCAAGAGCTCGGAGTTTCTACGTGAGATTTCCCGTATAATGCCTGTGCCCCACAAAGCTAATCAAGCTCCTCCAATAGCCTTACAGACACAGCCCTAAAGCTCATCGCAACTTACAACGAGATCGCCGCAACCTCCTGTCTGCCCGACTACAACCCCCACAAATCCGTTATCGCTGCAGAGACTGCCACCGCATCAGCAAAGACCACGACCGCCCGCCCATTCATCTTCCAAGCCCGCGCGCTTGAACGGAACGACGCCGTAATCGACTTCCAAGTCGGCAAGCTCTCCTCCGTCAAGGCGAAGGCTGCGAAAATCACACAAACCTACCCCAACGACCCAGCAAATGGCGTGATCAGTGCAGCTGCACACGCCGGGAATGTCAAGGGCAAAACGGCAGAGAATAAAGTTGAGGCTTTGTGGACGGCGAATCCAAAAGATATAGGGCTGGCCTTGACACTGGTCCAGCTCAGAATAAAATCCAAAAATATCACTGGTGCAATCCAGACAATGGATAAGCTTCTTTCCGCGCTGGAACCAGAACAACGGTACCAGCCTGGATTGGTCGGGCTCTTAGTAGCACTGTACCAATCACAGGCCCGAAAGAAGGATGTGAAGGACCTATTATCACAAGCCAGCGACTTCTGGAAAAACACAGATACCCCCGTAAGTGCGCCTGTTCAAAGCATTGGCCATAAAAACCCTAACAATCATAGAATGCCACAATCCTCCAAGCATCTGGCAAAGCACAGCTCGACTCTGACGACTCCGCCGACCTCCGCGCCGCCGGTGAGCTCTTCACCTCCCTCCTCTCCGCCGACCCCACGAACAAGTTCGCAACCGCCGGCCTGGTCGCCTCATACGCCACCATCGACCCCTCGCAGATCACCCCCGCGCACATCTCCAAGCTGACGCCCGTGCAGACACTCATCGCCGACATTGACGTGGCGGCACTTGAGTCTCTCGGCGTTGCGCAGCAGAGCCGGAAGCGCTCCGCGGAGGAGGATGCGGGACCCAAGGTGAAGCCGAAGAAGGTCAAGAAGAAGAAGACGAGACTGCCGAAGGATGTGGAGCCGGGGAAGGTGGCGGATCCGGAGAGGTGGCTGCCGGAGAGGGATAGGAGTACGTATAGGCCGAAGGGGAGGAAGGATAAGAAGAAGGCGGCGGGGGCGACGCAGGGTGGGCCGACAGCGGCGGGTGAGAGCTCGGAGGTGCTGGGTGGGGAGTTGTTGAAGAAGGCGGGAGGTGGGCCCGGTGGGGGGGCGAATAAGAAGAAGAAGAAGAAGACGGGGGGGAAGTGGTAAGGGGCTTGCTGCTTGTTTGTTTGTTTGGGGGGGGGGGGCTTTGTGGTTTTGTGGTTTTGTTGTAAAAAATAAAGAGCGCATTTAGTAGAATGTAGTCTACAGCCTGTCAATTTTTATTGTGTTTTTATCGGGCTGTGAATGTTAATTGCGTTCCTATCAAGATCGAAGACCCCCCGCACAGCAGATGCACATGCAGTGAAATGCAATTAAAAGCTAAGATATGTTAAACTACAGTACTAAGCAGAATCTCTTTATAGCGATACTGCATATAGTTATACTCTACATCTTGTTATTAGTGGTCCTGAAATACTGTTTTACCTATCTATCTTTACTTATAATGATACTCGCCTTACCAGGATATAGATATTCTGTCCCAACCGTATCCTTATATCGCTCTAGAGTTGACTGCAGAGTAAACCTTCCAGAACATGCCCAGTAGCATATGTACCAGACTGACTACATATATTGATAAACCCGACAACCCACCTCCCGCGAAAACCCAACACACCCTCCACGCATGCGCGCATCTTCCGGCCAGACCCACCCCCCATTGTGCAGATAGGCAGGCAGACAAGACAGCCCAGCTAAGGCAACAGTGGAGGCGCAGGTTCATGTGGCGTAAAAAACGTCTCTCCGTTCTGCCGGGGGCGTTCCAGGCTTCCAGCTAGCTGTGCTTCTGGAAAGAAGGGAGGAAGCACAAGGGGCTCATGACGCATACGTTCAGTTACCTAGCTAGCTAGCATGGTCAGTGACAAATACTGCCAGCCAAAAGCCTCCGCAAAAAAGCAAGACGTCGACGTAAATCAACAAGCAACAAGCAAGCAAGCAAGCAAGCAAGCAAGTAACAGTAACGGCCCAACATGGCCACCGCACGCACAGCCGTTTCATCGCAGTATACACATCAACACCTCTACTCCAGATCAGAGTTTCACATATATACCACACGTATGCCATGACATGCCCTTGTGCTCTACACCACCACCATCTCAACCACCTCCACCCACCATAGAGTAGGTAGAGGAGGTAGAGGATGTAGACAGCCCTGTTTGAGCGCTGCAGGATAGATGAAACCAACCACGCTTGGCAGTATTGGCATCCAATCGAGTGTGGCCAATCAGCGTGCGTCATACGTTGTCACTCGCACTGCCACTGCGGCGGTTTGGGTTCGCGCTTGGAGGAGGGAGAGAGAGGGGGGGGGGGGGTGGGTTTGGGTAGTTGGTAGGGTGTGTAGTAGGGTGTGTAGTAGGGTGTGTAGTAGGGTGTGTAGTAGGGTGTGTAGTAGGGTGTGTAGTAGGGTGTGTAGTAGGATGATGCTTGTACTATATGGGGGAGTGGACAGGTAGACGTAGAGGTGCGGCGTAGCACGCGCCCTGGGTGTGGGGGGTATGGGGGGGGGGGGGGGACTACATGTATTTAGCCATGGATCACTCGAAAGAAGAATCTTGGATCAGAGCACGGGGATCGTCGGCTGGGTAGGTATGTAGTTGGCGAGAGAGAGCTCACGTCAGCTAGTTTAGTTTTAGTTAGGCCTTGGGTTTTTGTTTTTGTGCTTAATGGGGGGAAATGGGGAATTTTGGTATAGAGGAGAGACTCTGATTTTGGAAGCGAGACAGCTACTCTAGCTGGGCGCTTGATGTGTTCTGCTTAATTAGCCGCACAGGTGCAGCGCGCCGCCGGTAGAGATGGTATTCATGGAAGCTGGGGAGGAAATAAATGCCTTTGGATGCACGTCTGCGGTGCGGTGAGGTGCGGAATGTGGGTTTGAGACCTTTTTAACGGCTTTTTTTTTGCATTGCCGTGGAAGGTAGGCAGGCAGATAGGCAGGCAGCAGAGATCTAGAGGCACTATTTGTAGAGTAGCGTGAGGACTTACATCATGTAGTTACATACATGTACATGTAGTTATATTGTAGGCGGCTTGGATGTGAATGTAGGGAAGCTACAGGAATTACGCGCTCTGTGGGTATTCTATAGTAGGGACATTTCGGAGGCTGGCTACAGGATGTACATGTAGTTAGTAGTTGGCGGTGAGTGGTGTTTTTGGGATATTGTTTTGTTGTCAATTACGTAGAGTAGGGTTCCCTGATCATGAGGAGTCCTGGGGTTCCACATTCACGCATACTCTCGCGAGAAGAGTTTTCTTCAAGGTGGGTCTGAAACACACGATGGTGTAATTAATAGGCCGGACGGCTTCTTGACACTTTATCTCGTCCTGCGTACCTACATAGGCGAGCTCTTGGCCAGCCTGTCTGTGGTTAATTGTGTCTGATTTGGGTGTGTTGCTAAAAAGAAAGGCTGGTCCGTGAGATGCTTGTCCTGTTACACACATGCTGCGAGCTTAAAAAACCTAAAATCGACTGACTGGTGACTGAAATAGAGCAGTAGCTAACTATCTCTGTCTGTCTGTCTGTCTCTCTCTGTCTCTCTCTCTCTCTCTAACTATTCTCACACGCACATCATCAACCTCCCAGGATAGGTTGCGCCCTTTCAGGTCCAATATCCGCTCGCATTGGTTTATTTCAGTGCCTTAATACATCATCCCCGAGAAGCAGCAGCAGCAGAATCAGTCATTTGGAACACTGCTACATACAGAACGTTGGATGCTGGCCAATCATCCCCTCGCCCCTGAAACGCTGTCCAGCGCTTAAACATGAGTGCACCCCTCTCCCCCCGGTTCGAGTTGTCGCTGCAGGGGGCCACTAGCCGATATGGGAGGGGACGGGGGAGAGCAAGTCGACTCTTGTAGTTACAGCGTGCAGCAAGCACAGGCAAGCAGGGAAGCAGCTATGGCGAACGACCTGGGTTACACAACCGCCATCTAAGTCGGAGGGAACGAAAAGTCTAAGACTGCGAGAGAGCAAAGTCTCAGTGAGTGCGACCTATGGGATGTCAGCAGACGCATGCGGAGCTGTAACGTATCCAATCCCTTAGACGCCTGAGAAACCAGCCTTTCCGTGGCAAGGTGTCGAGGAGGCGGGACAATGCAACTGCTATTAAGATACGCCTTCTGGCCCTCTGTCGAGGTGGTGGTTTTTTTTTTTTTACCTTACACTTTTATGGTCTTATTTCAATATCTCTCCCTCCCCCCTCCCCTCCTCCTCCTCTACCTCCTCCCTTTGTCGTTGACGACAGCAACGACTGGTTATTCGTTTCTTTTCTTTTTCTTTTGGTTTTTCAGCTGTTTTCAAGTCTCAGGTAGACCATATTATCAATTCTATTAGTTCTTTGGTCTCGTTTTTCATTCTATTGCACTTTTACTTTTTATTATTAGATAGACCCGGTTGTCTTTTCTCTGTTCTCTATTTTTTTTTTCTTTCAGGAGAAACCTCCTCAGTCCTATACTTTGGGAGTTATTTCGATAAAAAAAACACTAGATATACTAATTAGAAAAGTCCTCAAAAACAACCATTTACAATGTCACCACCATTCCTTACCCTGGACCCCCGGACATCTCCTCTCCACCTTTCACCGCATCTCTCTCCAGAGTCCCCAAACAACAGCGACAGCGACTACACAGACAGCGTCTCTCCATTGACGCCCTCCCCGGTCGGCCAGAACCAGCCATACCGCATCTCCGGCTTCACCGCCTTCAACTTCAATCTCAGCCCGGTCTCACCCGCAGAGGGTGCCGGAGCGCACCCTGCAGACGCCTCAACAGCTAGCCTAGTGCCTCCAATCCCACCGCGTGCGTCGCCGCCACCACCGATAGTAATACCCCAACAGGCCGCACCGGCAATTGTGCAGTCCAACGCACTCCCGGGAGGCGTGCACAGAGAGGCACACACAGATATTGTAGCAAACGAGCCCGCACCACCGCCATATGAGCGCTACAACCGCCGCTCCATGCCCATTGGCGGCGTCCGCGCGAGCAGGGCTAGTATCGCCGCCCACCAGCTCCCGACGGACCTCTCTATCCCTGCGGCCGCCCACGCCCGCGGACAGCACCCGCAGCGATTCGTCTCGAATGCTAATGTTCCAAGACGCTTCAGCGGGCAGAGACAGGTATACCCACTGGCCCTCAGCGGGGATCTTGCCCGCAGCCAGAGCCAGCGGAAGGCGTCGTGGAGGATATTTGGTGCTGAGGAGTCTCTTGATGGAGGTGAGAAGAGACGAAAAATTTCAAAAAACACCAAATGGATCATTGCCATAATCGGTGCGACGGTCCTGATCTCGATAATCGTTCTCGGCGTTCTCTTTGGAACAATGAAGAACTCAAATTCTGCCAAGGCGGCAGATTCGTCGGTCCCGTCGTTCGATGTAGCGGGCTTCCCCGTGTTGCCTACGGGCGTGGTTGTGATATCACCGCAGGGCCCGGCGGAGACGCCGTCAACGACGTGTGTGCAGCCAAAGACACTGTGGAGTTGTGCGCTCCCTACCGACTCAAAGTTCCCGAGTAACAGCTCGGGGCTGCCAGAGTTCATCTTCACGATTGCGCTGAAAAACGGCACAAACAGCAAGACGGGCATCTGGACGCCTGTTCCAGCCCTCGTGCCAAACGACACTGACTATGCCGCAGTGGCCGGGGAGGATGGCATCGTGGCTGATAACAAGATCGGGGAGCTAACACAGTTCTACCTGTCCATGCAGACGGATGAGAGCAAGCCCATCACCATTGCCTCAACCTCAGTATCAACATCATCCTCTTCTGAAGATTCCTCAGAAAACGAGAAGCGCCAGGCGCCCAGCTCAGCAACAGCTCAGATGCTCCCGACCATCCTCCGCAACCAGCAGCTCCGCCTCTTTGACCGCGGGCTCGAGACCGAGCACTACGGCTTCTTTGTCCACTACAAGAAGACCATCAACGTCCTCGCCGCAACAACCGCGGAGGTCACGGATTTTACTAAGGCCTCCGACGACCCGAGCGGCGTCAGCGCGGGGATCAGCGGCGCGAAGCAGGTCACGTGGGAGAACACGAGGTTGAGGGTCGTCATCTGGACGAAGCAGAGGACGAGCGGGTACAAGGATCTGATTGGGGAGCAGGGACAGAGGTACCCGAGCACGCCGAGGAGCACGGATACGTTTTTCCCGTATGCGGTGAGCGTGTTTGAGGATAGGGCGGGCGAGAAGGGGCCGGTCTATTGGATGCAGGAGGGGAACCTGGTGAAGAATACTGTCCAGGAGGAGGAGACGGATCCGAGGGGGTGCTTCTGTGAGTGGAGGAATTGGAGGGATGGGAACTGAATGATGATGGGGTTATGATGATGAATATGGGGTGTGGTGTTTCTTTTGTTGGATGGGCCCTGGTGGTCGGTTTGTATAAAAGTTTTTTTCTCTTTGTTTGTTTGGACTTTTACTAGTGGTATGAAATAACGGACGCTCTTTTGGACATTATGGGGACTCTTTTTCTTTTTTCTCTCTCTTGTTTTTGGGTTTGGATTTTCAGGCGTTTTTTTGAGTAGCTTTTGTTTTCCTTCGTCTCTTTTGTTTTGTTTAGGGGCTGGGCCGGGGATATTACTATTACATATAGATATTGGGGAGGCGGGCTTAATGGGAAAAACTAAATTATCGATGGAGATGACAGAAAAAACAGTAACTACTATAACTACTTATACTCTAATAATGAAAAGCTAACAACTACCTTAATACATGCATACAATATTGTGCTTAAAACTATGCTGCTGTGCTGCTCTCTCAGGGACGGTTCGAGGAGAAATGAAAGGGGTGAGAGGAGTTAAGTACAGTGACAGAGCAGAGGATATGGGGCCACTAGTTACATTGGTACTCTGGTTAAGTTGGAAGAAATGGAACGTAAGATTCCGCAATCTGAGGCCATCTTTTCGTGCTGGAGTATCCGGGATTAGGGTGAATATGCATGGAGGAGAGAGAGAGGGAGAGAGATAAGTGGCACACGCCCGGCTGATCGTGGTATCGAACTTGTGAACTGTGCCAGGGATATACCAGAGGGGAGGGAGCGGCCATTCTGGTACTGATGCTGATCGATCGGGTGGGATATTCTTAGACCACGTTTTTTTAAAACTTATATGGGGTAGTGTGGGGTATGTCGGTACGATATATTGGAAGAGGCGGGCTCTATATCGTGGGGACTTTACAGTTGTGGATCCTGTGGATCGAGGCGTTCTTAATGAAATACAATGTGCTCGATCGGTGTCAATGACATGCATGGCCTTCCGGAGGCTAGTCTCGTTCTCGGACTGTTTTTTGTGGAGATGCAGAATTCTTGGATGGTAGGTGGTGATGTGGGAGGCCGAGGACCGTCTGGCGTTGGTTTTGACTCCGCTATCTCACGGTCGGTGTCATGACCTTAGCTAGGCTAGTCTCCGCTTGCCTGGGCTGGTCTTTTTTTTTGAGGTGCAAATCAAAGTGGATAGGTCGTGGTGGAAGAGGAAAAGCTGTTGAGAGGCCGGGCTTGATGGGTTGGTTTCGACTCCGCGGTCTCTGGTGGGTTTGGATGTGGTTTTGGAGGTGAACGCTGGGACTGATCGTGCATGTGTGTATGTGCTGAGGGTATTGGAGGTATTGGTGGTGCTGGTGGGTTGGGATGAGGCATCGTGAGCTGAGAGAGGTAGATCGGGGATGAAGATGGGGATTGGGAAAGGACTCGGAGGCGGGTGGGGGGTTTGTGTTTAATTGCAATTGGAGAGTCGGGGAGGGATATTTATGGGTTTTTTTATTCGTGATGGTGGATGTTCTGTTTGCTCCGATCTCGAGTGAGGTTTCTATGAAGTTCTGTTTGCTTCCTGCTGGCACAGTGTCTACCCGGGGGTTTCTAAAGACGAGTCATTACTTCATCACATCTCCGCTAGGTAGAGTAAATGGTATATCCAGGGCACTGAAGAGAAGAGACGTATATCTGCACATACCCGTCAAGTTTGATACCTGAGATGCCACCAGTTCTCTTAGAACCGGACCCACCACTTACCTGCCAGAGCTGAGATATTGGAGTTCTCGAGAATCAACCAGAATGTAGCTACCTACTCTACACGGTGCTTAGTCCGCGTGGGTGCCGAACAAGAAAGGCGTATAATTACTCTATAGATCTGTGCAAAAAACCAGGCGAAGGATATATACGGAATCCAAAAAAGAGAGGATACCTTACTAATATCCTTTCCTTCATGCGCATTAACGGGAATCGAATCCACACCCTTTTTTTTGGGGGTACATACTAGCTTGCATGCATCGAACGCATTAATATTAATAGCTACATAGTGTTTTATGGCGGATACATTTTTTTTCTTGTTTTGTTTTATTTATAAGTAGGCACCCGCAAAAACTGCAATTGGGCCCTAGGATAGTAGCTAAGAACACCCTGCAATTTCCACAATCGCCAGGAGCCAATCGATCCGGTCTCCAATCAACTGGCGAAATGGGAACCTTTGGGGAGGTTACGCGCGTAGAAGGATTGATATATATGCGTGCTGGTATGGGTAGGTGACCAGCTAGGGTATCAGTTATGGGATTTGGGAAATGGTCGGGTTGGTTGGTTGGGGGCTGGGTTGTGGTGTAGGTGGTGGTTGTGTGCTTCATGGACGGTCACTCGGTCAGCTGACTGGTTCTGGTGGGTGTGGCGTCGTTTGGGGCGCATACATGTATGGTGCGCACACTCTTAAAGGTGATATGGCGGCATACGGAAGTGGAACAATTGTGGCTGCAATAGGGCCTCATGGGTCAATAAGAGGGCATTACTGCCACGGATCAGTCAGGTTTGCTTTTCTGGGGTATAAATGGGTATAATACTGTTTGTTTAGTCTTGGCACATTTTACATACAGAAATACGCAATTTCAACTTCCTAAGGCTTTACAACCCAGACAGATATTAAAATTCTGGAAAAATAGAACAAAAGTTCATCACTATTAGTATACTTCTATTTTTCCACTTTTTTGATATCTTTTTTGGTGGTGAAGTTATAAGCGATTGACTTTCCGTCACTTTGGGTTACCTTTAAGAGTGGGCGCACCATACCTGAGGTAAAACCCGAGGCTACGTGTAGTCACCATGAATCACTCGTTGTAATTCCCAAATGAGTTGTGGTTTCAAATGATGTTGAACGGGTGCGGGTGAGCTGTCATGACGGAGGCCACTGGTCGGACGGGTATCATGTCGAGACCTGTCCTTGTCATGTCGAAGACAGCCGTGGGATCCTGACTATATAACTAGTTAGTTTCTTTGCAATTGTCAAGATTAGGATCAGGTCACTTAACTGTCTCGTCCTCATCCCACTTTTTCAATAGCTATATACATTTATAACTTAGGCTGCTCACACAAGAACTTTCCTGTTGGAGATGTAGGATTTAAAGATTTCTCCCTTTTGTTGTCTCGATGAATGGTTCGTTCGTTAAATAAACTTATATTATCGGGATCGTATCCCTAGCTTAAAAGCGTTACAGATTCAACTGCTATATGTTTATCCAACCAAACGAATCAGGGAAGGTATGATATAATTATGAAAGTAGTTACATGCACCTCAAAACAAAGAAAAGTCGTTTATTAATGAATCAGTAGCGTCTCCGTTCACTCTACTACTCCAGCTCTTCCTTCTTGTCCGCAATCTTACACGCCGCCTCCATGGTCCTCTCCAATGCCTCAACTGCCTCAATGGTATTTTCTGGAAACAACTATCGTCAGCAATGCTCATGATATTTGAAAAAGCATACGACAAGGAGTGTGCACTTACGGAAATGGCAGACAATCCTCCCTGAGCCCACCTTCACGCCCTCCCTCTCTGCACACGCACTCCACACCTCCTCCGTCACGCCCCTCCCCTTCAGATCCGCCCAGACCATATTTGTCTGCACCGGATAGCTGACCTCCCCGCCCAGCGCCTTCCACTTCCCCTCCAGCCTCTTCGCCCACGCATCTCCCACTCGATACTTCCCCCCAGACCAAACTTCATCAATCGCCGCATTCGCCATCGCCGTCAGCACCCCCGCCTGCCGGATCCCCCCGCCAATCGCCTTCCTCACATGCCTCGCCTTCGCCACCAACTCCTCGCTCCCCAGCACCACCGACCCCGTCGGTGCCCCCATCCCCTTCGACATCGACACCGATATACTGTCCACCTCGTCCGCATACTCCCACAGCTCGGGCGCGCCCTCAACCGCACACGCATTCCATAGCCTTGCGCCGTCAAGATGTATCTTGACTCCGTGCTCCCGCGCCCACGCCCCAATGCGCCGCATCTCGCCCAGCGGCATGATGACGCCATTGATGGTGTTCTCGAGCGACACCACCCGCGTGGGCGCGAAATGGATATCGTCGCTGATAACGGCAGTGGACTGGATGTCCTCCAGCGTCAGCCAGAGCCCGTTGCTGGGCTTGACGGGCTGCACCATGGCCTGGCTGAGGGAGGCGAGGCCGCCGGCTTCAAACACGTTGACGTGGGCGCGGACATCGCAGAGGACAGAGTGCGGCGGGTGGGAGAGGTGTGCGCGCAGGCAGAGCTGGTTGCCCATGGTGCCTGAGAGAACGAAGAGCGCGGAGGGCTTGCGGAAGAGGGCGGCGAGGCGGGATTCGAGGTTTGTGGTGGTGGTGGACTCGCCGTAGACGTCGTCGCCGAGGGAGCAGGTGGGGAGGGAGGCGAGCATGGTGGGCGTGGGGGTGGTCAGGGTGTCGGAGCGGAAGTCGTGTGTGGCGGGGGAGTGGGTCCACGGGTTTACGGGCGTGGTGGTGGTGTTGGCGCTCAGGGCGGGCATGCCGGAGCTGCCTTTGGAGAGGTAGTAGCTGCATGTAGCTGTTAGAGGCTGTTTGCATGCATATAGCTGGTGTTGGGTATGGGTTTAAGGGCTTTGACTTACAGGTTCCTGGCTCCCCTGCCTCTGCAGGTGGAGCTCAATCGCATGGCCCGTGGGAGAAGAAACATCCTGGGGGGGGGGGGGGGGGAATTATAAGGAGAATGCGGGGAGCAGTAGGATATGACGAGGGTTGATGCAGCTTACTGACAGACAGACAGGTGGACTACAGTGAGGGTTTATATAACACTTTTTCTTTATGTATAATACAGATGAAGAAGATACAAGTAGGTGCATGTAGGCAGGCAGGTACCCAAGTGAGCGAGAACCCAGATGAGTGAGTGAATGCTTACATTCCAGGTTAGGCTTACATTCCAAAGCTCGTTGACTGGAGTCGCACAACAATGCCATAAAGCCAACTATCTATAGCTACTAGATGTCTACTAATGACTACATCTACTCTATATAGCAGCTAACGACCAAGGAAAACACGGATTCCGTGGGGCTTATCAGTCAAGAGATGTTTGGTCTCACGCCCCACCCGCGAATCACAAGCCCGAGATCTCCGGTGGTCTGGGATCCTCGGCTATATTGTGAGATGCCTTGCTTGCGGCGTAGATGGACTACCTCTCTATGATATCAGGCTTGAGATTGTTTTGTGTGAAACCAGCTGAAAAGGGTATGCACCTACGGCATGAACAACATGATCTAGTTTAATTTCCCACCAGACTGAGGGAGCTGACAGACTGAGCGATATTATATTAATGCATGGAGTGACGGTCGTGGGGATTGATAGATGCCAAGGATAGCAGGATCTTATCTAATCTAATCTAATCTAATCGTGGTTTGGGTGGCCGAGTGATGGCTTGTGACATACTTGTGGTTGCAGGACGAGGGGAAGGAGCAGAGGGCGTGTCTTTTCTGCCACCTGCTGTGTGGAGATCTGGCTTGAGGACAGCTTTGTGTGTATACCACCAGGACAGACACCAGGACAGACACCAGGACAGACACCAGGACAGACACCAGGACAGACACCAGGGAGAGGTTGAATTAAGCTTTCGCTAGCAGTAAGGCTGCTCTTAGTAAGGCAAGGTGCTCATAACCCCATATCCATCCATGATCTATCGCCTTGCCTGGGTATGCAGCGTCCAATCAAGATGGCGGACAGGCTCTACAGGAATCAAGTTTGTGCCCAATTAAAAGAGGAGAAGAAGAAGCGGCAGGGGACATTGCGAGCAAGCATTCTCTATACCTTCCCCCCGCACCAAGCTCTTATGTATGATACACGAATATCAATCCGCCATGCACATGCCCCCCACAAAGAAAGAAAGAAAGAAAACCCCTCCACTCGCCAGATAAAGACTAATCCCCTATTTCGACTGTCCGGGCAGCACGTTCTGCATCTCGAAGATGTACCCCTTGACCTTTGCATCCTTCAGCAGCTCAAGGTATCTCTCTGCGCGCCCGTAACACACCCCAGCCAATCAGCCATCCATCCCCCCCCCCAACTTCCCCCACATCATCCAGAAAGGAAAAACTCACCCCTCAACTTGCCACAGTTCTGCAGATGGTTGACCCCCTCGCGGTAGTAGCACTTTCCGAGCTCGTCGCGCACGATGCGCGCCATCATGCTCTTGACCCACTGCTCGCGCAGCACGGCGTCCTGCGCGGCCTTGAGCGCCTTGTTGTCGTCGTAGTCGACGCCCTCGAAGGTCGCGGGCACGGTGGGCTTCCTTGCGAGGAAGGCGGGGGATTCGGGGATGGGCATTTTTTGCGGTGTGCTGTGGGGGGGGGGGTGTTTGTTAGTGAGTGGGGGATTGAGTGGAGGTAGGGAGGAGGGGGCGTACTTGGTGGATGTGGTCGGCGGGAGTAATTCAATGGCTGCACTGCTGGACTGCACTGGCGGGTGATGATGGTGGAGAGAGACAGACGTTGTGGTGTGGCTTGGCGCTTATGTCATGCGGTGGGCGGTGCAGGGATGCGTGTGTGACCCCGCGACGTCAATGATCGGGGGAACCTGCATTGGCGAGAGAGGAAGAGTCCGAGACTGAGTCTGAGAGTGGGCGACGGTTCGAGTCCTCTGTGCGGCATCCATCGACGTCGAGCATCGCGATAGTCGACATATATCAACCACCACCACATCTCGCGAGAAGGGAATCAATCACAGCTTCTACAGCTCTGGCTCTGCAGTCAATTGTCTGCAGCTCTCTGACCTACTACCAGCTATACATCTACTACACACCTCCACACACCTCCCCAGAGATGCCCTTCCCCTTCACCCTCCCCACAACCTCCCCCATCTCCTACCCCACCTTCTTCACCTCCCCCTCCCACCCCTCCCTCCCCCTCCTCGCCTCCTCCCACCGCGGCACCCTCCGCAATGCCCTCAAAGCCCACAAGCGCCTCCCCCCCGCCTCCCAGGCCGCAAACATCCCGCACATCATCACCCTCCTCACCAAATACACCACCCACCTGCTCACGCTCACCACCGCCCTCGAAGACAACACCGCCTTCCTCCTCCCCGCCGCCCCGCAGTTCACAACCTCCTGGCGCGCAACACTAACACCCCCCACCCGCCGCGGCCGCCTCGCGGGCGAATCCCCGCGCATCGCACGAAACGGCCTCAGCTATGAGATCTTCTTCACCCTCAGCACGCTCGCGTACGCGCACACACTGCAGGCCCTGAACCAGCTGCACCAGGTCCTTGCCTCCCCCTCGGCTGCTGCAGCGGCAACGCCGGCACCGGCAGACCCGCAGCAGCTGTTTAACCTTGCGGCGGCGAACCTGCTCACCGCCGCGTCGGTGTATGAGCATCTGCTGACGCGGCCGCGGCCGCCGTCGGCGGAGACGTGGCCGGTCGAGTTGACGCCGCCAGCGCTGGCGGCGCTGAGTGCGGTTAATATGGCGGACGCGACGCTGGTCGCGGTCGTGAAGCAGGATCCGTATCCGACGTATGTGGCGCTGACGAGCACGGGCGGGGAGGCTGGGAAGAGGGAGAAGAGGAGGAAGGGGGAGGTGGGGGTGGGGGTGGCGTCGAGGGAGTGGTTGTATAGTCCGCCGGCGCCGCCGACGAGCGTGCGTGCGCTGCTGCTGGCGAGGCTGTGTGTTGCGGCGAGCGACCATGCGGGGAGGGCGCTGGGGCTGCTGGGCGGGGTGGAGAGTGTGGCGGTGGAGTTTAGGGCGTATGTGGATGCGCTGCAGAGGGTGGCGAGGGCGAAGGCGTGTCGGTTTTTGGGGGTTGATGCGGAGGGGGCGGGGAGGTGCGGGGAGGGGATTGCGTGGGTGGGGCTGGCGAGGGAGGTGTTGGGGGGTGCGGGGGGCGGAGGAGGAGGAGGAGGGGGGAAGGACGGCGTGTGGGGAATGGATGCGGGGTGGGCGGAGGAGGAGAGGGTGTGTAAGGCGTTGGAGAGCAGGTGGAGGAAGGTCAATGATTCGGTACTGTTTCAGGTTGTGCCTGGGACGGCGGCGGTCGCGGCGAGGATGCCGACGGGGAGGGAGATTCATAGTGTGGGCGTGTGGGAGGCGCCGAGGTTGGGGGCGGAGGAGATGAGGGCGTTGAGGATGGAGGGGGCGGTGGGGGTGGGAATGGAGGGGCTGGAGGAGGATAGTGGGGAGGAGGAGGAGCCGGCAAAGGTCGAGTATGCGGGGAAGGGGGGGTATTATTAGGGTTTTTCTTTCTCTCTTTCTTTGTTGGCATATCTCTAGGTTAATATGGAGGTTATCATTTACTGTAGTTCTCTGGATAGTAATGAGACGCATGTGGAGCTGGTATTGCTGCTTGTAATGAACTAGATGGCTGTTTATGCAATCCTGGTTTTTTGAGTAAAGAACTGGCCTCGGTGAAAAAGAAGTCTCTTAGATATGTAGAGACAAAGACTCTCGTTGGCACTCCTTCACGCACAACTCGTTAACCTGATAATGCCCTATATTCCAAGACCCAGACTGCCCGCTCCTGGTCACCCACTTCCTGACTGCAGTGCTCATTGCAGTATCTATATATAAAGAAGTACCCTTAAGCTACTTCCTGATGGAAAGAAGTAACTGGCAAAGAAGAAACTTCATAGATGTAGCTAATTGTGTATTCTTAGCTAGCTGCTTCCTGATGGAAGAAAGTGAACGGTAAAGAAGTAACTTCGTAAATGAAGTTAACTGTGTATCCTTAGCTGGCCTGAGGGTCCGGCCAATTTCCCAGTCGAGAGGATCTGCCCCTGTGGGGCGTGGAAGCTGTCAGATCCTGGGGATATGCTAATTAGCTGCATGTACCTACAGTCTTAAGCGACTTCCCTGGCCACTCGGATAGCCAATGATAACTGACGGAGAAGAGTGTGGTAGGAACTACTGGTTCAGGCTTCAGGGCCACGGTTTAGTGGGTCACTAATAGGTGCGGTCACTCACACACCCACAGTTCCTACCATGAATTACATGTAGTTTACAACCATTTTATCGTTTAAGGGTCATTTTCTGTATTTAGAAATAATCAAGCAGGTTAATTTATTGACGCACACCACAAGAAGTACGTACAGAAGCCGGTTACACATATACGGTGTTGGTCGTCTCTTAATATGGACGTGAACTGTCCGAGGGTACATATGTATCTAAGTGGCTAGCTGGGGGTCCGAGTAGCATATCTGTAGCTTTTCTGAATATAATGAGCTATAAGTGCACGGGTTATGGAAAGTAATGTATATACCTAAGGAACTTAAGAACAACAATAGATCAGGCGGTTAATTGGACGTGGAAATGGACAAGCTTGGCGCTCGAGTGACGTACTGTGATTCGCTCCGTAAGCTCCCTCAGCAGCCAAAGTCTTCGAGGGGTGTAATCTTGGCGCCTGCGGCGTAGTTATAAAAGGCAAGCTTCTCATAGTTTACCAATATTCGCCACTATAGGCTTCACGACTGGCTGCACCGTCCGGCATCACAGACTCTCGCGATCGATCGATAGTCTTTCCATCACTCCCTCCTACCCTTCGATCCTCACGGGCCGCAACGTGCTTCTTTTAGAATTACCCTCCCCACCCACTACTTAAGCGTTTCCCTGAATTCTTCTAATCGGTGTTTTAGGCGGTAACTGAACTCCCCTAGCTATCATGGGATAAGATATCACTTGTGCGTCTGCCTTACATGGTGCGTGCTTCTCCTTCACGGGAGGATGTTTTCCTCCTTTTCCCTGGACTCGCCCTCATGGAGGGAGGCTCTTTTCGCCCCCTATCAGGCTAGACTCCAAGAATTTTCTTTGTTTCTTGGTCTTGTTGGGCCTTGGGCTGTACCGAGCGAGGGCTGGAAGAGAGCGGAGGATTGGCCTGGTGTCGATTTTTAGCGTTGTGCTTGTCAAGGCACAGATGTGCTTTGAGAAGTCTGCCTTGGTGCTTCATGTGCCCCAGCTCTGGCACGAGCCACATATCGATGATAAGGTACAGATATGCTCTTCTTCGATCTCAGGGTATATACAACCAAGTCCCATCCTGCTGAAAAAGTCGTAAAGGGGGCCATTTGCAAATATTGAACCTGATGGGAGGGCCTCTGAGTAAGGGTAGGATGGGGTATTGAGTTTTCTTGGGCTCCTCGGGAGGGACATTGATTTCCATATCCTGAAAAGCCAGAGAGAGCGGATAGAAGAGTTTATGTCAAGATTTTAAACTTGTTACTCATACGAGAAGCCATCAGCAAACACGGGGGCACATATCCAAGGAGAAAGAATATATTGGCTTCCGTGATCGCAATAACTAGAAGAACCTTCTATATTATAAGCTCGAGCTCAACTATACGTATCTAACTTCCGAGCGCGCGCCAAGACCAGCTAGACAAACATCGATATCATTGGTGTTTAGTGACCATACGGGAAACACCACAGCGGCCCGTACCTCTCTCTTCCCCTTGCGCCCTTACGAGGAATACGGTACTGAGATTCCAATCGATATACAACGATAAAGTGGTGAAATTAATGAATTAAACAAAAAATAAAAAATAAAGTGGTGAAAACCCACACCTCTAGTGGCTGAGTAACCGATCTCGAGGCTGAGTTCTGGCGATATATATGGTACTGCGCCCACTCTTAAAGATAACCAAAAGTGACGGAAGGTCAATCGCTTATAACTTCACCATAAAAAATGATAAAGAAAAAGCGGAATGATAGAACTCTAGTACTAGTGATGAAGTTTAGTTCTATCATTGCAGATTTTTGATATCTCTCATGGTCGCGAAGTTATAAGAGATTGAAAATGGCTATTTTTTGTATGTAAAAAGCGCCAAGACTGAACAATATTAATTATACCTATTTATACCCACCGAAAAGCAAACCTCGTCGGAGTTGTGGCAGTGATGCTAGAAATGAGCCCTCTGACTGGTCGTTGAGTCCACATCCATATGTCGCCGTGTCACCTTTAAGAGTGTGCGCACCTATGACTCTTCCATGTACCCAACTCCTGTATTTAAGAAGTGGTACGCCTCTCTTCTCTCTTTCACCCCACAAGTTCTATCGCGCGGTATATCATACTTCTTGTTATTTTTTATTTTTACGGAGAGTAGGTTTCATGCTGCTGACTTTTTCTACCACATCAGGTTTTCGTTGTGAGGGGAATGACTGCATCAGAAGCACTTTGGGGGGACGACCCAACTCGAAATAGTGCCCTTCCGATCTACATTGTATTCGGTTTGTCTGGGACATATGCGCGCTCCACCTAGAGTACATACCAGAACCACGCGGGCTCAGCCGTACCTACACACAGCTGGTACCAGGATCATCTTCACCCGACCGTGCTGCTGCCTAGAGCTACTACTTGCTACTTTGATATTGAAATATCTTGAATCCAACCGTCTCCCTACTCAAGCCCAAGGAAAAAAAAAAATTCTCCCTCTTTCGACTTCAGGGTGGAATATATATGTGCGGCCTGGAAGCGGGTACATATGTTGATGTGGCTGAGCGCGAAGCGAAACTAGAGGGAGACAATTTTAGACAGCATTTGACCAAGCCTACGACCAAGACACGTAAATACCTGATGTGATGTGATGTGAGGAATCAAGCTCTGCAGAATAGGCTGCAGCTTACCGAAGCCTCCATTACTACATACACTTCCCTCAAGCTTACATATGTGTTCTGAACTGAATTTCCTACGAGCCTACTGGCTGACTTTTTAGCCTGTGTCTCGTTTGCGTAGTTGACAGGGGCGATCAGCAAGTTTTGACAGGCTATCAAAATAGGTAGAAAATTTACCGGAGGCGCAGCGAATGCTAGTCTTTACGGTCGACAAGGGTACAGAGGGGGGAGGGTGAGGAGAGTATAAGAACGCATAAAGCCCCCTCATATGTACCATTTGTGTATCGGTACCATTTCGAGTCATCTCTAGCTTTAAGCCCCAAATAAACGCACGAACAACTTCTGTTGTGTCCGTCAGGGGGTCTCCCAGTTGATATTATATTGTTCTACTGGGTAAAAACCATCAGCACCATAACTGCCAGAACTACATTCACGACAGCCGCCCCCCATCGGCGGGAAATCTTCAATGATGGCTTCGAGCACGCCGTTCAGCGAGGCTGAACGGTATAAATTCAACACAATATTTAGCAATAATGGGTCTACCTTCCAGCATAATATACCAGCCAACCCACTAATGGCAACGGGAAGATGCGAGACATGGAAGAGGGTTAAGCTTTTGGCCAGAGGGGCATTTGGAACTGTTTGGTTGGAAACTGAAGAGAAGGGTCAGCAGCTGAGAGCGGTTAAAAGGATTGCAAAGACCACTAACGCGCTACATTTGAGGGAGTTGTTGACCCTCACAAAGCTGACAGTGGTATGTAAATACCTCTTTCACTTTCGGGGTAGAATGACACCTTTACTAAAGAAGTTAAACCTTTCTGTAGTATCCGAAACATTTCGTCCAGTTTCTCGGCTGGTTCGAGAGTGAGGAGGATATGTACTTCGCGATGGAGTATGTCAAGCATGGTGACCTCAGTAGGCTCATTAACAAGAGTAGTGCACCGATTGCGGAGAGTGATGTGAAGAGTATCTCACGACAAATTCTCGATGGATTAAAAGTCATGCACGACAACAATTTCTGCCACCGAGACCTAAAGCCAGAGGTAATTAGAAATGTATACATATGATTCTCAGAGCATGTGGCTCACATCAATCAATAGAATATCCTAGTCGTTTCACCATCACCTATCATCGTTAAGATTTGTGATTTCGGAGTCTCAAAGCGTTTGCAGGAAGGGACCAACTTCAGAACTACCGTTGGTACTCTTGGTTACGTCGCACCAGAGGTTTCGGATTTGTTTGATAACGATTCGTCCGTGTACACCTGTGCGGTGGATATCTGGTCGCTCGGATGCCTTATATTTGCGCTTCTGACAAAAGAAACACCATTCCCGGCCACGAGGAAGTTGATATCGTACGTGGAAGGTCTCATCCCGTTCCCAGAGTCGAAACTGGTGGAAAGAAAGGCGAGTCAGGATGCTATAGCCTTCATTATAAATCTGATGATGCCGGAGCCGGAGGCGAGGTTGACCGCTCATTCGGCGCTCAGAGAGCCATGGCTTCGGGAGGAGTTAGAGACAACGGGCAAGAAGGGGCGGACTAGTGGTTAGAGACACGCAAATATCTCTTAGACGGACTTTTCGCTAACTAAACGATAGGTCGATCTACTAAAAAGGCACCACACCGCTGCTCCGATATGCACTGTGCAGCACACCATGGAAACCTCAACGCCGTCCGCGTATTCGCAGAAAGAAGAGGATCAAATGTCAAACTTAAAAACAAGCAAGGACGGACCCCTCTCCACTCCGCAGCCGCAGCGGGCCATGTCAAGCTGGTGCAGTACCTTTTGAAGGAAGGGGCAGATATCAACGCAACTGGTAGATTTGGAGAAACCCCGCTCCATTGTGCGGCCTCCGCAGGCTATACAGATATTGTGAGGATCCTGGTGGAGGAGGGAGCCGAGATCATGTATAGGAAGAAGGACGGGCAGACCCCTTTGCATTCCGCCGCGGCGAGTGGGCACTGTGCAGTTGTCAATCTGCTATTGGAGGCAGGCGCAGATATTTGTGCTACCGACAAGGACGGACTGACAGCACTGGGAGAAGCTACATCTCTGGGGCGAAAGAATATGGCAAAGATGCTCCTGGAGAAGGAGGGAGACTATAGCGGTGGTAGCGGGTGCGGTGAGAATCACCGTGGAACAATGATTAAGAGATCGCGTCCCAGTAGAGATAAAGGATCTTCTGGTAATATAGTCTCGCTCGACAGCCTCCAAATGGGAGTCAAACTTCGTGGTAAAGAATACAGGAACACATGGACACGCGCTGTCAAGGAATGGGAAAAACCTCCTTCTCCCTGGCAAACACCTTTCTTTTCTTGCGATAAATATATACGCAGTAAAAATGCCCCTATTCTCGAGAATATAATCATACGAATGGTTGGCGTTGTGATGGAGAGAGCCGGAGTAGCCATGGGCTGTAACCATCCAGGTGATGGGGATAGGGACCGCGGAGGATACCGCCAGAAACCTGCACCCCCTATTGTTTAAATTTATCAATAAATCGATAAAGGCGCGCGTTGAGTTTAGGGATCGGTATGGTTACTGCGAACGTAGCGCATATGAAATAAAAGTTTATCAGTTATGTGTATTCAAGGGATAAAGCAAGAAGTAACTACTACTCAAGCATACATGGAATTTCGTTGAGTACCTGAAGAGAAATTTGGAAATCTCGAGAGGTGGTGCAAGGGAGTTATATATGTTTTGACAGCGTTCCTTATTTTGTTCCTTTGTTGTTTTTATTAGTCGATCTTCACTTCATATCTATGCATGTACTCAGGAGGTTTATGAAATTTAATTTGAATCAAAAGTATACTTCAAGTCCTTGTCGTCTATTCAGTGGATTGATATAGGTATTACTGAACGTGTTCTTTCCTGAAAGCACAAGGCTATACGTGTATGTGCATATATGTGTTTGTTTAGTTTATAGCCTATGACCGCAGCCAGAGCAAGGTTTTAAAATCAATAGAAATATTGCAGAAAGCCTAGCTTCATCATTTTAGGGCCCGTTCGGACAACCCAATAATCTAGATTATTGGCGATAATCTGACGGATTATCGACTTTTGGATTATCACAATAATTTATGCTGTTCGTGCAATTGAATAATCCAACATTCGGAACTCCTGATTATCCCAATAATCCGCCAAGGAAACAATCACCTTCAGAGGTAATTATTCCCACACAACACAGATATCCTGAGAGCTAACGTTATCCGGACATGTAGATTATCCACTTATTATGAGTATTATGATTATCACTTCCACTACCTGATAATCCAGTCTGTCCAATAACCCGAAGAAATAATCTAAGGTTGTCCGAACGGGCTCTTAACTTATTGCCAACAATCTTATCTAATCTTATCTAATCTATGTGTGACAAGACCTCTCAGCGTGACACAAACTGACACTTAGATACATGTATGTATAGATTTGCTGTCGACGAAGTAGGAGTGTCCTGTCTCTACCACTTATGATTTTTTCGAATGTTTACTGCATTCTACTAATGATTATCGTATTATATCTGCAGACCTCGACCCATTGATGCAAGGTAATATGAGCTGATCCTGTACCATGTCAAACACCTGATATGGCCTGTTTTCGCAAGAGAAACCACGCCGCCGAGCTCACAAGCAAAGCTATATAATATCTCCTTGTTAGATGGAGGAAAGCTCTCTAACTTTCTGATAGCAATCTTAACCAATGCGCAATTACTTTACTTTACTTCCTCTCGCTTTCCAATCTTTCCTAAGCTTCAACACCACCACTACTACCAGTATGGTCCATTCCCACTTCCCTGCAGACCCGGAATGGAAGGTGTTGTTGCAGGACCAGCTCGTTAAGCAGCCAGTGAACTTCTTCCAGCTTGCAACGGTAGCGGAGGCGTCGGTGCCGCATGTCAGGACATTGACCTTGAAGGGATTCTTAGGCGAGACAAGGTATGTCGTTTGGTCTAGCTTCGAGCAAAAGCATGATACATGCATTTTAAATCCTCAACTAACAATAATTAACACATTTACAGCTACTCAAAAAAGAGCCAAATACCTGAAGAATCGCGCAATCCATCTGCACGGTCGGATGTGTTCTTCATCACTAGTAACGCCCAGCAAACGAAGTTCAAAGACCTGGCGTTTTCCAATCAGGTGGAAGCAGTATTCTGGATCGCACCTGCGGGAACGCAATGGCGGATTCGCGGTCACGCCGTTGTGATTGGAGGTAAAGGTGAACTCGAAGCTACAGGCCGAAAAGAACTCCATAGACACCTCACTACATCTGATCCTAGCTGGAGCTGGGAGAAGGAGTTACAGAAGATATATGATGGCCTAGATGCGAAATCCAGGGAAAGCTTTGGGGTGAGTGAACTAGTTCTTATTTGTGGCCCTTCAAGTTCATTTTTGTTCGTTTGTGCATGATCTAGCGTTGCTAATACCTGTTCCCTACAAAATAGGAATCTGAGGAGATATCGGAGGACTTTAGACTTTTGGTAGTGGTGCCAGAGCACATTGAGGCAGATATGCTGAAACCGGAAGAGAAGAAATTGCACTGGGCGGTGGAGGCAGAAGTTGCATCCAAGGTCTAAAATAGTTTATGATCTCCTGTGTATTTTATCGCGTAGTGGGTTGGTTTACTCTATGTTGATTCCCTGTTGTTTATCTGCGGCTTCTTCCGTTTCCGAGTGAGAATGCATGCGGTGACACAATGACATCACCATTTCTTGGTAGTAGTCTACAAATCCCGGTTTGTATTGCGCAGGAATTTCATATCTCTCCTGCCCCCCCCATGGACTGTTCTCCATCCACAATTCTGTTCGAGATCCCCCATACCAACATAAACATTATACACAATGCCCTGCTTCGGTTCCCGCAAAAGGTCAAACCACCCCGATACGGAGCCCCTTCTCGCCCAATATGATGAGAACACTGCACTCCAAAGAAAAGCCCATGGAAAGCTCCACACATACCAGATGATACGTGCTCTTTCGAAGGGCTATTTCCCTTCAACAGAGCAGACCATAGTCCAGCTTCGAACGCTTCTTTCCGTGGACATCTTGAACCCTACCAATACCCAGTTGACAGCTGATGGCCGGAAGTTTGTGCGTCACGTCAGGAAATTTATCACGGAGTTCATTGAGTTACTACAGGAGAAAAATGGACAAGATCAGTTGCAAGAGTTTTTGTGGTGTGCTGGGAAAGCTAGAGTTGGATTAGATGCCCAGGACTTGGTGCAAACAGCTACAAATTCGAAGGCCAGGGCGGATGCAAGAGCTGGTAACAAACAAATATTGATTACCTCCCCATTTACTGTCGCTGACATGATTTTTATACAGCATACGACTCACTTCAAACCGTCTTCGATCTCTTACTGGCAAACGGCGACTTTCGAAAGCTATTCTCAGATATAACTACGCTCATCCGTCAGGTTCTTGCCGACACCGCTACAGCATCCGCAACCGCCGCGCGAACAGTCGCCGAAACGATATCACCCGACAAAGGCGAACTCGAGGCAATTACGTCAAAGGACACTGTTTTCGCGTCCGATATCCCTAGAGAGGATGTTGTGGAAGTGCCAGCGCGGGAGGTTGCGGACGCAGTGGTGATGGGAGTAGCTGAGACTGTTGGAGAAACAATTGACAGCGCAAGGAGAGAGTTTGGCCAGGACGACAGAAGGGATGCCTTATTTGGCCGAATGCGAATGGCTGTCCTCCGGCTGAGGAGAAACACAGATTACACAGAATCAGTTTCAATTTTATCCCTTCTTCTCAAGCGTTACGCGTACACATACTCCCGAGCTCTAGACAACACAGCCGCCGCTTTGGGAGAAGACCTACAACCGAATCCAGAGCTGGACAGAGCCCTCAAATGTTTTACAAGTATTTTCAAGTCGTTCGGAGAAAAACGAGAGTGGGATGAGCTGTCGAGACGGTGGGATAGAGTGATGAGCCATATCCATCGCGATGCAGAATTTGAAAGTGTTATGGACGATCTTGGCAGCTCGGTTCAAGCTTTTCTAACAGATCCAGATTTCGTCTCATCTGCAGACGATAAACTATCCGCAATCCGCGAGAAAATACGCGGTGTTGGCACTGAAGGGACTGTCAGGGGGGATGTGGATGCGTTGCTTGAACAAGTACATGCTGTGTACCTTTCAATCATTAACGATGCCTCTGTGGCTAGAATACTCTCCACATCCCGCGCAATCCTCCATACACTATTTCCAGTTTCCTCTGATCACATCATGAATCCCAATCTTACATCGGATATGTTCTACGTGCTTCTCCCGCTTGCTCTCAAGTTGGTTCAGTTTGTGCCGATTCCGCGCCTCACAATTTCTGCACCTGAGATTGACCTGTTGGTCGAGAATCTAATCATCGAGCCGGGCGACACGATAAATGATTCATCATTTTTCCCCTTCCGCCTTAGAATCGAGGCCCAAAATAATGTCGAGATTCGCAAGGGCCTTCACCGTAACACTGCAAGTCTAGACTCCTTTGCGACGATCAAGATAGAAGGGATCACAATGCGCGCAGATGAGGTAGGATACTGGTTCCGCCTTCACAAAGGACTCTTGAGGTTCAGTGAGTCTGGCTTGGCTGGTATCCAAATGGACAATAGAGGCATGGACATCCATCTCGATGTTGAATTTGGAAGGGACCGCGTCGACCAGATTGTGAGTCTGCGTGGTGTGCGTGTCAAAATCCATAAGTTATCGTACACGCTGCAAAAATCATACTTTTCGTTTGCAGCGTGGCTATTCAAGCCTGTCATACGCCGAGTGTTGCGGAGAACACTTGAACAGGAGATAGCAGCAAGCATTGAAAGCGCATTGAAGTTTACAAACCGAGAATTGTTATTCGCCCGAGAGCGCTTACGGGCAACCAGAATTTCCGAACCAGATGACTGGAGGAAGTTTATCCGTGCTGTGGTTACAAGATTGACACCTGCGGAGAATCCAGACGTGGATGTTCGCATGGGCGTATTGCCGCAGAGACGAGAAGGTGTTTTCGAAGGCAGGAGGACGCCGGGTAGTTTGGTGGGACTCTGGGAAGAAGAGGGGGAGAGAGCAGGTGAAATTGTAGACGATGAGGCTACAGGTGGTTGGAGAAATGAGGTTTTTGACGTTCACACCGTTATGATGACTTGATGGGTTTATGATATGATCGGAGTTTGGAGGTTATTTAGGAAGGTATATGGATGATTTTCCATCGACGTTTTATCTATGTATGGACGTTTGCGGGCCGGGCCACATACACATTATTTTCAGAGATACATGTAATACACATAATACACATGAGGGTATGATGACAATGGAGTACAGGTACATGTATGTAGAGTACATGTATCTACACATGATCATGAGATGTAAGCTTAACCCGAGTACACATTACGGTACATGCGGTAAAAGAGTGGTTCCTATGGGGCGCGACGCACTTAACCTTATTATGTCGATAATCATAGGCCCATGTTGAATCCAAGATGACGTGATGAAATGTTATTGTTGCATGACCGATTACAAGCGAGGGGAGCTCTATTACCTGCTGTAAGGCGAACTTCAATGAAATTTGCCAAGACATTACAGAAACCCGGAATAAACACCAGGAAGGTCTCCGAGTGGATCAGTTTTACATGCCTCTCTCTCCGAATGAACAAAAGAAAAAAGCACAGGAAAAAAGAATGTTTTCACAATAGAGCATGTATCAGATCGACCAAGTTGAACACAAAAGTACATAGTAAAGTACACCCGTGCCCTACCTTACGGAAATACCTACATGTAGTTACATGTACGTGTACGCTCCCACAAATTAGGTTAGGGCCCGTACCATGATTGTTCCGCAGCGGTAAGGTACACAGCCTGAGCATCCCTGGGGAGATCCCCTGAAAATGCGGGGAAGGAATAAAAGACCAACAACATAATAAGCCAAGTCGACGCCAAGTCACGATCCACCCTCATCGTTCCGAACAACGATCGCAAAAATCACGTTTTGGTGTTTGATGACGAAAGAGCCAAGGTGTATTGTTGCTTGGGATGCTGTCCCGTGTGTTGATATTTGTCATTTGAGTTCCCGGTAGGTACATTTTTCCTGACAGTCTAACTGGGATGTGTCTTGGTAAGACATCATATGTGGCTCTAGTTAGATGGCTTCGTAGATGGGATTTTGAGGGAGGGATGGATAAATCGTTAGTGGGAGAGTGAGCACGGGAACATCTATATGTACCTACATGTATCTTGTGGCCTTGAATTCAAATTCTAGAGTATGTACTCTACGTGTATAGGTAGAGTAAATATACTCACTGTCTCAGATCACCGTCTTGTCAGAGGCAGTGCTTACTCTGTTCTGCCCCGATAGACCTGGATTGGCAGAGCGGCTTACGACTTCTATGCCTAAACACGAACTTGATGGACAGCTAGTAGTCTTGGATTGTCTTGGACGTTGTTGAAGAGACGTCACCTACTTCCTCTAGCAGCGGGATGCGCAAGATGTTATTGGCTGCCGTACCGCATGCATCAGTACCCGCAGTACTTGCTACATATCTAAAATTTTGCTTTCTCTTGGTGAATACATGTACGGAACACAAAGTACCAAAGCCAGGGTATAAAATTCCACTGAGACCTGGCTTCTTATATAAATTCCTTCTTTCCCTTTATCCCCCTCGACTTCTCCTCTCCCACCTTTCATCCTTCAGCTACCTTGACGTCGCCGCTTCTTTATCCAGAGGAATTTAGACCACATCACATAAATCATCATTACCATCATGATTTCCAACAAGCTCTTGTCTTTACCTCTCCTTCTCTCTCTCCCGGTTGCATCTCTCGCCCAGAGTCTGTCACAGATTTTGGGCTCCACCGATTCTGTCTCCAGTCTGGCTGCAGTGCTTCAAGGCTATCCTGACATCACTCAATCCTTGTCAGATGCCAGGAACATCACCATTCTCGCTCCCAGCAATGAAGCATTCTCTGCCTTGATGAATGCCTCCTCTGGAATGGATATGGACAACTCTACTATCACTGCTCTGTTAACCTATCATGTGCTCGAGGGAGTCTACAGATCGGATGCATTTAGGGACACCCCTCAATTCCTGCCCACAATGTTGGATGACCCGAGATATGGCAATTTCTCCAATGGAGGTAAACAAGTCGTTGAGGCCATCAACATCAATAGAAATCCAACTTTGTTCTCTGGAGCAAAGATGAACTCCTCAGTTTCTACAGCGGTAAGGCCTAGTATTTCCTCAAGTTTATTTATTCGGCCATCCCTAACACAAGAATCTAATAGGATGTTACTTTTGATGGTGGTGTTATCCACGTGATCGATACTGTCCTTACACTACCAATGAATGTTTCCACCACTGCTATCGCCGCGAACTTGACAGCTGCCGCCGGTGCTCTTACCGCTACTGATCTTGTTGATACTGTTGATACCGCTCAATCCATCACAATCTTTGTTCCAAACAACGAGGCTTTCCAGGCAATTGGAAACCTCTTGCCCACTCTCAGTAATGAGGCTCTGATGGATATCCTCACGTGAGTCTATAGTTCTTCTAAGGATATACTTATAGGCATTGAGCTAATATCTCTATAGTTATCATGTCGTTGGATCTGTGGAATTCTCAAGTGACTTGAGCGATGACCAAGAGTTGACAACGCTGCAAGGTGGTCAATTGACAATTCGCATTGAAGATGGTAGTGTGTTTGTCAATGGGGCCCAGGTTATCCTCGCCGATGTGATCACCACCAACGGAGTTGTTCATGTTATTGATGGGTAAGACCTTATATATCGCATTAGTTACTTGTTTATACTGATAATTTAGTGTCCTCAACCCCAACAACACTGATGATGAACCCAACACAGATGCAGGTGAAACACAATCACCTGCCTTTGAATCTGCGACTCGTGTCAGCGAGGTGCCCTTCACCTCCGGTGTTCCCACTCCAACTGGTACCTCAATGGTTACCCCGTCTAGTTCAAGCACTTCTACTCCAAACGAGAATGCCGCAAGCTCTTTGAAGGGCAACGTTGTCACTGGAGCAGTCATTGGGGCTGCTATGGTATTTGCGTTTGCGATTGTTGTTTAAATGGATGGATAGGCTTTCCCCCTTTTTTCTTTCGGCTGAGACGAGAATGAGGGACTCATTATACCACATCACGATTGTTTTTTCTTCTCTTTTTTTTCTTTTCCTTAGTTACTTTCTTTCGATTTGGTAATGAGCTGTAATGAGGACTGTGAATGCGGATGGATGTTGACGGCTACAATGAGGGCATCGTGAAACAACATCATGCTATTTCGTCATAAAAAATAAAATATTATTAATCTAAATTTGGCTCCTATAAGCTTCGCATCAGCCGTTTGTCAGGAAGATATAGGGACGAGTGATAACGCAGGATTTAAATGCATGGCCTACTGCTGTTCCCATTATTGAAAGCCGATTGACAGGGAATAAAGTATTAAACTGGTCCAAACCCTTTTAGAATCAAGATAGTGATTGAAATCATTTCGGAATTACCTTTGTCAACACTTTGTAGACTCCTGAGAATGTGATAATGCATTGAACAAAAAAAAGAAAAGAGAAGAAATTTGTGAGAATATAATATAATACTTAGTAGTTCATATAAAGACAATATACCAATATCTATACCAAATATACCCTAGTTATGATCGAGACAGAAAACGAGGACTTCGGTGGATCCACATTTGCATTCGTTTCGGAAAGAATTTTAATCCCTGCTTTTGATAGCCTTCTTGTGCGCCAGCCTACAAGGCAGTACTGCCTCATGGCCGCTACCGAGTTGTGCTGTGCTTCTACAATACTCTAGTAGTTAGTACCATGTTCGCATCCACGCCACTGTCTAGCCCACTATTGCGTGTTGCAAGACATTCACATCCACGCCCTCTTCAAGCACTAGGCGTATTATATCATGCAATCTCTTTAAGTCCACTCAATTACAGTAGATAGTAGAGACATCTTCCTAAACTCCTAGATTAGCGCACTGCTTGTGCATATCTGATCCCTCTCCCCGAATACCAATATACCACCACCAACCTCTGGCACCAAGCCTCCAGTTTTTTCTGTAAGGCAGTACTCCATCTGGATCTGGGAAGAATCTTCGTTGTCTAGCTGCGTTTCGCACATAATATAGTCTCGAAGACTCGATTGACAGAACAGGTTCTTCCCTCTCATTCCCTAGGAACACGTTCATCTTCGCATATACCTCCTCCACTATGGCTTTCAACGCGATCCTCTTAGATTTCCGTATGGTAGACGGCTTCTTCAAATGTGAATCTCTCTCTTCGGGACATCCGAATTGACCGCACTCTGATGTCCCTCATTAATTCTTGCGGGCGGTGCCGGTAGTAAGATGATTTTAGATAATACCATACTCGGTTATTCCCCCATCGAGTAAATCCGCCGTTTTCTAAAGAATGTTCTCCATTCAAATCCCAATATTGGTTTCTTCCGGGCTCCTGGATCGATGGTGGTTCGCTCGCATCATGTATGTCTCAAATCTTCCTTGTAACTCTCTACCAGATGATAGTGACGGTAACGACCTGACTCAGCAACGTATACGTTGTGAGTACATATCTTTTGTAGCGAGGGAAGTGTAACTAATGAAGTTGATGATAACGTGGCTGGGAGATAGTATGGGGATAAATGCCATCTCCGCTCGTTTGTGCTGCGGCCTTTTCTGACATCTGTTGATATAGAGAAATAATGAGATCCAAAACGCTACCTTTTTACTTTGGATTATGTAGACTATATACGCCGATAAAATCCTGCGTCAAATTTTTTGTTTACCTTTAGTAGCATTCACTCAGGATCTGCCGGCCCATGCCCGCACGTCGTACTCTTCCGGCAATCTTATCTCCGGCATCTACCCAGTAACAGAGTGCCGATTTAATAAAAAGCATGACATATACCCCATTAATTGATTAAATTCATGCTTAAACTCAATCTGCGAACATTTGAGCCTATTAAACGATTGCACATGTCTGTGCTTGGTAGGAGCCACTGCAGAGAAAATGATCGAAGCTCATCATGGAGGAGTTAAACAAAGAGTTAATAAATAGTACATGTATGTAGGTTTTGTATGGTACATGCAGCAAGTCACTACTTATTGAAGGATAGATGTGATCTCGAGAAAACTACGTGAAGATATACCATTCGACGTAGTAATTGTAGATCAGTGGTGTGATATTCAAAGCCAGTAAACAGTACGCCCCAAGTTTTTGATTGCATGATGGCCATCAATCCCATACTGCTCTAGTTAGCCTCTATATTCTATGTATAATCCTGACACTTAGCTAGTAGCAATTTCGAATAATCATTATGAACCAAAACGACGGGCGAGTGGTCGCGATAAGTGATGGGCCTTGTGTGGGATTGCTCCGAGATGTTTATTTGTTGATACCTTTTAGTGGAGGTTTCTATGGTAATTACCGCCCATATGAGAGGGTATAATAATGAACTCCGAGTAATAATATTGTATTAGGATTACCTCTTAGTAAGGAAGTTTGCTGACTTGGTCGCTTAACAATCACTCAGCACAATTAGCCTTGTATATATCGACTCGAACTGACCTTCCTCGAACCTCCTCATAGGATGACTTTTAAGCCCTACTTTGCTTTTTGTGAAAAATTATATAGACTTGCTGGAATTTAAGTCTAGTGCCATGTATGATTAGAGCCGGAGTATTCGAACGACTGAGCCTCCGGTTAATGCTGTGCGGGCCTGTCCCACCTTTTCCGCTGAGAAATAGTCTTGGCACGCTGCGCCTCTCCAATTATCGTGAGCTATATTCCCATTGGCAAAGTTTCTCTTCAGCCGCATTCGACACCTCCCACTCCCTCCAGAAGCACAACTGTCGCACCTACCTCTACCTCTACTGATGTCTCTCCCCATAGTTACTGCACTTTTCTCTTTACTTCTTTTCGACAGCCACTCATGATCAACGCGACAAAAATGCTCTTGATCCAGCTCACGATCGTCTTTCCCTTCCTGGCTATTCTGGCGAGCGCCCAGAGTGAAACCTATCCGGACTGTTGTGCAGCACTCCGCACGAAGGGTCTTAGTGTCTGCGACTTTGACTTCCTAGGCTCCACCACCGCTACGACTGCTCAAACTGCCTGTGTCTGTTCCATCGACGGTATTGACACACCACTGAACGAGTCAGTGCACGCTCCACAAGTCAAAAGTGTTAAGCTTTTGGTCCGCTAACCTAGAGCGAAATAGATGTATCACCTGTATCCGCGCGACACCAGAGTTAACTGGGTACGCGGATTCATATGCTTCGATTTGCAGTAGTTACCAAACCACCGCGACGGCCATGGGTGACAACTCTACCTCTACTACCATGACGGACTCGACCAGCTCTTCGAACTCCACAACAAGGACCACCACAACGCGTTCATCCACCACCACAACAAGGGTGCCAACAACAGCGAGTACCACGACCCATGTTGCAGTGGCCAGTGCTGTAGAGAGTGGGAACGATGCAATAGGCGGCAATGTTCCAAGTATCGTGCTAGCAGCCCTCGCAGTGCTGGCGCAAATAGGCCTCTAAACTTGAGGATTGATGGATCGTGTAATTTGTGCTATGCGTACTTAGCGAGCGATTGGATGGACACTATTATTAGTTAATGATATTCACGATTTATGATGCTTCCTCCCAAGATAGTACGTCGCTGTTCATAAGTAGACTCTTTCGGTTTGAGACATATGTCTTGTCTTTATCAGTGCGGAGCTGTTATTAGGGGAGTATCGGTCCTGGGGTGCTTTTGCCAAGGACCCGTAGGGTTAGGGCTACTAAACAGTTGGCACTCCATGTCATTTATCTCCGATATTTGATGTATGTACCGGGATTTTATATTGAGGGTTGGTAAAGTCCGATAAGATCCAGGCTTACGGGGCTGAAACGAACTGTACAGTGAAAGTTGGGGCCGTTCATGTGATAAGGAACAGTAGATTTGGTATCCGCTCTGTTGATCCAGGTTCTGCCAAGAGTCTGTATTTGTACTATGGATTGGATCCACATGTCTTGTAATATTATCACTCGCCTTCTTCCTGTGCATATAACCTACCTGCTCATGCTAAATAGTATATAATCGACAATCAATAGCGGCGTTCATTGGGTACCTATCTGGTTCCCCATTGCAAGGTGGAATCACGCAAGGAGGATGCCTTATGCAGGCCTGTCTCCAAGGCCTAAACTCCTTCACCGCCTACGCCTACACAGCCTCTATCCTAAGAACCAAACACAGCAAATTCAATTTCTCGGAGAGGTAGGCCGATTCACTACATTACACCTAGAAGAATGGAGGTTGAAATAACGAGGGGTATAACTAGGCACATTTGTAATCGGTAGATACGCCGCAAAAGCACCTTCATTTGATTTTCTTATTGTCGATCGAGCTATGGATGATAACCGGCTATTGAGGTTTTATGAACGACCTGCCCGAGGGCTAGTTTGATTGCGTGTATGGACCTGAGTAGCTACTTATGCATTTCCCCGCTTGAGGAAATCACTATGATGTCCAAGCACACGCTGTTCCAGGCAATTAAGAACTACATTACATAGATAACACTGTAAACGATGTCTTGACCTGGAATTGCTGGATATCGTTATCCTAGAATGTGAGTGCTTTATTTACAGTACCACGTTAATCATCAGTAGCTCGTAATCAACAATTTCTTATATCATAGGATGAGAGTAAAAAGCGGGAGATCGGAGAAAGGAATAAATATATTTCCTTAACATACATTTCTTTTAATTTCTTCGATGTAGGTATAGATATATTCTCCTCGCGTTCATACCTTTATTTGATCCGCAAATATCTTACATACCCTCATCATCATCGGTGTAACTACATGCACTCATCATATGAAGATAAGAAAAAAGAGATTCCGTGTATTAATAGTACCACTTCCTGACAAGTCCGTGTGGGTAGCCTATGGCAATATAAGGCGTGCTGAAAGCAAACTGGAAGCGCTTCAGATTAAGTGATTGAGATTTGAGCCTGCTCGCATCCTCTTTTCACGCGAGTGATATAATGTGATTGGCTCTAGACAAATCGCGAGGGACTTGTGTTATCAAGTGATGTTATTACCCATGGGCCCCATGTATTGTGCGGGATGGGCAAAAGGTTGACCACACCTGCGCCGACTGATAAGCGATAAAGAACGGTTGATTTCTGATGTAATGTTATATGATGCACGGCAATCTGAGTGATATTGTATGATTTGTGTACCAAGTGACAGTTCATGATGACGTACTGAGCCAGCGAGTGATTATTCATGATTGACCTTATGAGGATCGAAGAATGGGATCTGACAGTGCTGGTGGCGATAACACAGTTAGCCCTGGTCATGATAAGGACAAACAACATACCACTCTCACCCTCCAGCTCCCATCACTATTCAAAACACGATGGGCGTATATAAAGACGAGTGATATTCCATGACTAGTACTATAAAACCAACCACCAACGCCAATTAGCACACTAGCAAGTCGCTCTGGCGGTGGGGATTGCACCTAGAGTAGACCTACGCCGGCACCTGCACGTGCAGCGGTTGCATCTGCACTTCTCTTTGCACTTGCACTTGCACTTCGCGTGCACCCGATAGAAGTGACAAACCGAGTGACACTCTAGCTCAGTACCTTTCCAACCACCCCGCACCGCACTCCAACTTGGAAAGCCATTCTGTCTTCAGCCGCACGCACAGAGCTTGACAAAACCCCATCTTCAGCCCCGCTCGCTAGTTCCTACTGCATGCAGCCGGGTCGTTGCGGAGCTTGCCGAAGGCTTGTTTTTGTCTTGCATGCCATGCATGGGATGAATGGGGGACGAGCGATTGGTTCTGTATGCAGGAAACGGAAAAGGGAAGAGCTAAATAAAGACTCTCCTTCTGGACCAGTCCGCACACGTATTATTGTATCTTGCAGCGTTAATTATTAATTGTTTGTTTCCTAACTAGAGCGTGATGAGGTACCGCCAAAACTCGAGGGATTGGCTATCTCCGTCCAGGGATTACCACTTGGGTGATTGGTTGAATGGCATCGATCTGCTTTAGAAATTTCCCATACAAGAAATTTTGATCGAGCCAATTTTTCGAGTTATGGCGGTGCATCAACCGCACAACTAGAGCAAACCTAACTAAACCGAACCAAAAGAAAAGAAAAAGAAAAAAGACATAATATAAGTAACCGCTATTCTAAAGAACCGCCCCACAGATGCACAGGAAGCCAGATGAAACCTTGTTATGTATTGTATCAATCGGAGCAGAGGCCTCCAGCACCGGTGGTGTCTTGACCGCTACAGACGAGGCATCTCTAGAGATGATTAATAGTACTGAGAATAGCGCTGTTTGAGTTGTTTGTGATCTACATATATATAGTAAGCCTTAGATCTAACTGGGGGAGGGGACTTTCTATGATGTAGGGGACCGAATAAGAACTGGAGAAGACTTAGGAGGCTAAGCTGTTGATGTATATCATGACGATTGGCGCAGTGTTTGGGGTGCAGTGGAGCCTCGATAATAGCATATGGTAGGGAATGGATTTTCGTGTGCCACTATCGGGGATATCTATGTTTGTATCGAGGACAGCTTTGCCTGTACCGACTCGTTTGGGATTGCCCAACTATATGCTACTATCGAGGATATGCTATTATCGAGGTTGCTACTATCGGGACTCCACCGTAGCAGTAAGGTGGCTGTCAACCTGGTTAAAGTGCCTGGTTACCATCCCTGGAAAATAGTATAATTCATCACACCTAATAACCATCACCAGCGCACCACCCACCCACCGCAACCACAACCACAACCAGAAATTACCGAGCTACCCTGGGAAACGAGCCTAGCCTTAGGGCCCAGATATTATTCTGTATTATTGTACGTTGCATTAATAATTTCTTTACCAGCGTTCACCGCCATACTACATTACAAAAGCCAACATTACGCATCCATCGCAAGGGGGTAAATATCCCCAATAACGTCCTCGCCGAGTCGGCAATCTAAAACACCACTCTCCAGGCCGCCGCCGCCATCACAAGCACCGGCACCATAAGCCCGGGTGCTCCAAGAGCCATAGTCCTAGAGCCGCCGTTCTGAGATAGAGCATCTCCTGTACCACCGGTGGTGGACGTGGAGGTGGATCTGAGGCCTGTAGAGGTGGTGGTCGGGTTGGCAGCAATAGCGGCGGTGGTAGTAGCGGAGCTACCAGTGTCAGTGGTCCTTGCAGTGCTTGCGGCCCTCGTGGTGCTTCTTGTAGCAGTGCCAGATGCGAGACCGGAGCTGGAGGCATAGGAATCGCACATCTTGTCTATGCCGCTGGCACTCTCACCAGTACATGCTATACAGCTGTGGAAAAACATTAGCATCATCACATCGGTACATGGAGCGGAGCAGAGCTTACTTTGCGAGGTTGGCTTCGAAGGTGGCCGGATCCTTGCAAAGACAGGTCATTTGTGCATCGGTGACATTATTGATATTGTCATTGTTGACATCGCAACCGGTGAGTGTTGTACCAAAGGCTATGCATGCCTCAGACTGGCCACACGAGGCAGAGGAGGACTCGGTAGCGCCTGCTGACGATGCGGAGGTGGTGCGGGTTGCAGAAGCGGAAGCTGAAGAAGCAGAGGCAGATCTAGTTGCAGACCTGGAGGCGGAGGAGGTTGAGCTGCTGAGATATACGGAGCACATATCTTGGTAAGTGAGGGTTTCCCCCATGCAGGCAAAGCATCTATGTGAGGTGGATGTTAGCATTCATGGTTGAAGTAGAGGGGAGAGAAGAAAGATGGCCCACGAAAGAGACTAGGTGAGAGGGGAGCAGTACTGGTCGATGGTGCTCTTAAAAGAGGCGTCATTGCATATGCACTTCTCTTGGGCCGCTGTATAGGTAGTTGCGTCGAGCGATATGTTACATTCAGTGAAGGTGACGACGAGACCACTGCACTCGCTCACACAGGCTGATGATGATGTCTGCGGCGAGGGAAAGGCAAATCCGATAGCGGGAAGCACATGGAGCGAAAGGGCCAAGAAGGCAGCAGCAGCAGCGGGTAGTCTGACCATCATTGAAGATTGAGGGGTACGGGTGTGATTTGATGAGACAAGAGAGAAACACACGACGGTTGAAAGGTGATGATCCAATGTGAGTGGAAAGGGACAGAGGGGATGGGGATGGGAGGAGACACGGTACTCTTATACCCCAATTCGAACACAGGCCCATAAATTATCCCCAGCGTGTGTAACATGCACATAGATGTATGTGTCCATGGATCCAGCCAGTGTGGTCAAGATCGCTCAATTGGATAAAAGGGAATGGGCGTATATACATGTATGTGCCGCTGCGGCTGGGTTCACGACACTGGCGATGTGCGTTGAATATCAGAAGACATCCGCGGGGGGCGTGTACTCGCCCTCCTTTTGAAGCTACTCTACTCTTCGCTGCTGCAATATGCTCCCTCAATTGATCAATCGCGAATTAAACTCTATAATAGGACCGCAGGCCCGTATGGTAGAGAGAGACACGATTCTGTATCACCCGGGATGTACACTCCCTCGAGGTTCATGCATCCTGACAGGCTGGGGCCTGTTGTGGGACCAGGTACAGCCTGTACAACTACTGTGCACGTTGCACACACACTAGCGCATAAATAGGAAAATATAGGAGAGGCGGGGGATGCTCGAGTACATACATACATACTCTACTCTAGCCAGTGGACCAACATGGGGTTTACGACTCTCGAGTACTTGGATTAAGAAAAGGTAGAGTAGAATACATGTATTGTAGAGAAAAGGGACATGGGGGCGGGGATTCAAGAGGGTTATCAAGTTGGGGTTCTTTAATGCCTAGCTTCCTCTGCTGCGACACTCCCCCCGCCCCAGCTGGAAAGAGGGAGTGCACTAGAGATCTTCAATCACATGTATGTAAGTAGACTAGGTTAATTGAATTGCGTGTTCTGTTAGGCCGATAAAAAAAAAGGTCTTGAAAAGACTCGGCAAGCCGTTGATCATGCAGTTACACAATGCTCTGTGTCACATTGTGTACCACCCCCCCCCCCCCCCCCCATGGCCATGCAGGTTCGGGACTACATGTACTCAATTGAATTCAAGCAAGGCACACCCCATCCCGATCAGCCTCGCCCTTAATCTCCACACTGACAGACCTGCAGTAAGCGTAGGTATTTGTTCCGTCTTTTGAGTTTCCTCTCTTCTGCCACGCCCCATGTCGCGCGATAACCCCAATGCCCACACAAGCCAGCAAACAGTACACCTTCCCCGATTATATACAGTTTAGACTTGGAGTCTATCGCTCGGTTCATGTCTTCCGACTGCTGTGAAAGGTGTGCACCTTATATGGCTGTGCCACAGCCATGCAGTCACGTGGGTGTCCAGGAGGGGTAAACGTTTCCCTTCATGGCTGATTCTGTGAGGTATCAACGGCACTGTATGCGCTCTACTCTAAATAATAGAGTACCGCAGAAACTCGCCAACTTGATTATCTCCGTGCAGGGATTTCTTCATTGATGATTGGCTGAAAGGCAGAGATCAGCTTCAGATATTTCCTCTACAAGTTAGTTTTTGGTCAGATCCGCTAGCAAAGTTCGTGAGTTTTTGCGGTACTCTAAATCTGCGCCTATTTTCGGCTGATCGGCACTGGATTCTAGTGGCTGCATGCTTGAAGAAGTCAAACCGTTGATTTGAATTTTAAAGTGCTGTGACCGTGTTTAGGTTCACAGGTGTAGACGAACCGCGACAAAGTTTTTATTGGAACGAACCATTCTATTCCTCGGATAAGGATGACGAATTAAACAGGACACGCTCAATTTCTTTGCGGAGTGACCATGGAATCCATGCCTAGAAGACGGGGGCATTGTAGCCAGCCGGTTGGTGTTGGTGATAGTTTGTACCATATGGATGTCGGAACCCTGGGCCTCGGCCTCGAGTATTTATTTGCTCCCCTTTACTCCTTGGCCTTATTGTTTGACGGTGTGGCCATATATACCTATATCATTTTTCGTTGCTTGCGGGAGTACGCCATCAACCCGGATGCCTCAGCTACAGCTCTCACAACTGGCTACCCACCTCCGTACCTTATCAAGTCCCATTAAGTGAGCATATACTAAAGTCTAGTGCTATAGTAACGAGTGATTTCTCATGATCGGTTCACTACCGCTGATGTCTACATCCCCACTTTTTTTGACTGCGGTGGAGGAACACTATCCACTGGCTATCACTTGGGAGTCTGGCTATTTCCTTCTACTTTCCGGATCATTCGGCTTCTCTTCCTGTCGGTTTAAGTCATCAATCTCTAATTCTCCCTCCATGATATATCATGACCAGCGATACGTCAATAAAAGTCTAATTTAAAGAGTCACACGTATTATCGAGATTTCTTGACATATCTCTTTCAAACAGTTACTGACATGTATGTTTCACACGGTCGCAAAGAATCTAACTTTGCACTGGCCCTTCTATGCTAAATTACTCCACGACCTGATCGGTTTGTAACGTGTCCCTCGTATTAATGATGGTATTTCGACTCTTCTAATGGCGAGGTTTTGGGACATACAGTTACTCCTGAGCATGAGCCAATGGGAAGGCTAACTTTCAGCCTGCCCGCCAGGACCTTGATAAGGGCAGGGATAGTGATAAAAACATGCCTATTAGGTTAGGGCTGAATATGGAGTATCGTCATTACCGGGTCCCCATATCTCGTGCGGTTTTGGGGCCTGAGATCTTTGATATTTATGATCGGGCGTATTATATATCTTGATTTGTCAAGATGAATAACAACCAACTAATGAAATATGTTAGTATACATACACTTCAGCTTGTAGGGGTCTACACCGCTACATGGCCGGAGGTGCAGTCAATCGAGGTGCAAAAGCTGTGCGATATGTTTTCCGAAGTGTGTGGCGTTGTAGGTACTCGTCTCGAACGAACCCCACTGAGCACAACGGCGTTCGAGCGAACACGTGTCGTCCAATCGGGATGTACCACACACTGTACAGTACAGAATTCCCAGTTCACCGATAACTACAAGTACCTCTCAACTAAATACTCCATGTCTTCCTGACCTCATTTTAATATTAGAGTCTTCGATTAATATCACAGCTACCTCTCAGACCATAGACGTCACGAAAAAAGCGCCAAATAGAGACGAGTTCGCACTGGCTAGGACCTCCACAATCAAAGAGTAAACTTCTTTATCCCAAACCGCCTCCCCTACGTCTCTTCGGTATAGCCTGTGTGGCGACATAAATCCGCCGTCGACCACTGGTATAGATTACAACTCCGCATTCAGAATCATCCCCATATATCAAGCACGCGTAGATATAGCCATGGAGTTTTGTGGCACTGTTGTGGGTGTGGTGGGGTTGTATAGTGTCTGCCTCCAGATCATGGAGCAGTTGGATGATGTGCGGAACTTTGACGACGAATCGGGAAAGCTTCGTACACTGTTTGAAATCGAGAAGCTCATCTTCACCCGATGGGGCAACAGGGTAGGAATTAACGATGAAGCGGAATGTCATCGCTTCCTGAGGAAGGATTCGGATCAATATCCTTTGATTTACAGGATTCTCAAACAGCTCGAAAACGAATGGAAACGTGCGGAAACGTTTTTCACAACGTATAATGTGGAGTAACCGGGTGTGACCATCAAGTCTGGTTCCGCTGTTGGCAGCAGGGGAAAGACCTCTATCCGGAGAAAGCTTGTCTGGGCGGTAAAAGATAAGAAGCATTTCAGGACCCTCCTCACGGATGTTGGAACCATTGTTCAAAAGCTGGATAACCTGGTTCCCAATAGTAGTGCTGGTTCTGAGGTCAGAATTAGGGAGATGGAGATGAGCTTGAAGGCACTTGAATCGCTTCTCGAAGGTAGGAAGCTATTATAAGAAATATAAATGTAGATGGCCTAAGATAAGTTAATGATCGATGGTAGAGAACATATCTCAGAGCGAGAAGGATAGGAAAGGGGCTGGCGAGTTTCAAGATCAGGTCACAACACATATCGACAGTGAGTATTTCCCCAACGCGGAGTTATATGCGTGGAATGGTAGCTAACGTACAGGGCCGAGATTTATAGAGGAAGATCGTGATAGGCTTTTGCGTTGGGTTGGCGCTGTTTCGACGGATTATGAGCTCGATGACGCGTTACGCGGTATACATACATGCACATGCACCTGGATTCGCTCCACTCAGGTTTTCCTGAACTGGTTCGGTCCACCTGATGTTGCCACCGGTGCATCTTCTCCTGTCCTCTGGTTTCACGGTGGTCCTGGGATTGGTAAAACACATCTCTCGGCAAGTATTATTAAATATCTCCAGGATCACTCTTCCTCATACCCCACGGCGTTCTTTATGGCCACCCACGCCGATTTAAAAAAGAGCCAGACCACTTACATCCTCCGCTCATGGGTCTGCCAGTTGATACAGAAAGAAGAGATTGCCTTGAAAATAGCTCAGAAGGTGAAGCCTAAGAATGGAGACGCGGTACCTACTGCGTTATGGAATATATCTTTCGCGCTATTGTGAAAGGACTGGGACCTTGTTACTTGGTCATAGACGGATACGATGAGTGTCTGGACTATGACCCTGATTCACGGTCATCGAGTAAAGGAGCTCTGCAGAGCTTCATGAAAGAGTTACTCATATCAACAGTGTCCACAGAAGCGAAGATCTTGATTGTGAGCCGGAACCTAGACACTATTAGATCTGGTCTTTACGAGCCCATCAACGAATCAAAGTTACGTCGGGTAACCGAGTACCCGGTCGCAAAAGAAGACACTCAACAGGACATTGAATTAGTCTCGGGCGAGATTGTTGAGTCAAAGATTCAAGACGATTCCCAAAAAAAGGCGATATCGGACCAACTCAAGAAAGGTTGCGATGGCATGTTTCTTTGGCTAAGGCTTGTGAATGAGCAGCTCGAGCTGGGGATGCCATATACAGATATTAAGGATATACTCGACTCCGTGCCAGACGGCCTCGAGCAGGCATACCAACGAAACATCGATGGAATTCTCAAGACGGGCATTAAAAATCGTCAACGAGCACTTGATATCTTTCCAATCATGCTTTTCGCAATCCGGCCGCTTTCCGTCACGGAGTTACTGTGTGCTCTGCGCATGAAGGACGCAGTGGATCGCCGCTTACAAGAACCACCAGAATTTATTCAAGACTCCGAGATTACTCATTTGATGATCCAAACATTATTAGTGAAACCCTGCTGTTCCCTAATTGAAGTTCGCGGGGGGTCGGATGCGCCTCAGGAAAAGCTCGCACATAGCTTTATTCACTTTGTGCATTTCTCTGTCAAAGAGTATCTTCTAGGGCGGATGCAATCGGAGGCATTACACCGCGGTGATCCTTCCGGAAAAAACCACGACGCTTCGTACATCTTTGGCCCTAGAAATGGTGATGATATCCTTCATGAAGTCTGCCTTTCCTACATTTTCATGTGTTTCAACTTTGGGAAGTTGCACTATAATAAGTTTTATGAATATGCCGAGTATAGTTGGAGGTCGCATTTCGACCGGTTGACCGGGATAGTAGATCCAGGGGCTTATGCTTTCAGAAGAGGCTTTTCGAGGGACCTTGGTTCCAAAAATGGGCAGATAATTATAAGGAAACACGAAAAGTGGTGCCCAGACTTGAAGCTCTGGTGAACAGTGTATTATCGCCGGCAGAGGTTGCCGCCATGCTCGACCTTCCCGACCTCAGTATATCTCTATTCCCTCATGGGAAAACACCTCAGAGGGTGCTTGCGTATGCAGTCGCCTTTGGAAAGCCGGCGACCATTCGCACGTTGCTTCAAAGCAGAGAAGATTTTGATGTGAATTGGACCGCTGATGGATACCCTTGGATACCACTTTCCGCGGCATTCAACTGGTATCGGGCGCATAGTTTTATTGTATTGCTCGGCCAAGAAGGCCTGAACCTATATGCACCTCTTAACGATAAGGGGGACACATTACTGCATCTTTTGGTCAGGTCTCAGCCTGAGGTTGATCTGGGTATGGTTGGCATTTTACTCGCGGTATTTGATATTAATTGCAAAAATATAAGTGGAGAAAGCCCGCTATATGTACTAGTAAGTAGCCCACTATCGCCCTCCAGCAAAGAAGTACTACGGTATTTTGTCGAGAGGGTCGACACCGACCTGAACGCACCTGACAACCACGGTCGGTCGCCACTGCATGCATTATGTAATAATAAATCCCTAAAATATCGTCTGGCCGCTTTGAGAGTGTTGCTTTCCTGCCGAGGTATCGACATCAATGCTTTGGACATCGAAGAGAGGACACCACTGGACTACTTGCAATCGAATACATCAGCTACCCCTTTTAATGCTATGTGGGGGCTGATAAGGGCTACTTTAGTTGCGAATGGCGCAAAGACGGGGTGGCAATTAAGAATGATTCAAACTGCTTCAATTCACTCGGCCAGTGATTGTAGGTTCCTAAACTCTATGCATCTCTGGATTTAGTATCTTCGTTCTCCTCCTTCGCCCTATATATTCTTTCCCCACTCACCTCCCCCCCCCTTTTCATCTTTGAGGGCCTCTCGTAATTGTCCTATTTCTCTTGCCGACATGAAGTCTAACTGGTGTAACGCTTCAGACTCTGGGACTCCTGAGGACTGTTCGACAGTCTCCACAGTATGTGCTACTATTTCCGCAAATAGCGGTGAAACCAACATCACGCCTACCGACGAAGGGGCTCGCCCGATCGATCCACACCTGGAAGGCCCTGATACGAGAGCTTACGAAAGCAATATCAGAGTTGATGGCGCCCAAGCAGCCCTCGAAACGAATGAAAAATCCCAGAAATCAGAAGCCGCGAGAGATAGCGCCCAAATAGCGCCTAATTATGCCTCTGATGTGGGTGAACCTGAAACTTCACCAAGCCTCGCAGAGAAACCACACAGAACTTATCCTCCTGTCACCCAAATCGCGGAGGGAGAGGTAAGAAAATCACCACCAACCGTTGGTAGTAGGGAAGTGGTGCTGTCAGCACCTCGTTTTTTGTATTTCATTCCGCCCTTTCTCGTGTTCATTGTTTCAGTCTATCTTTATTTATGATGGACGTCGTATTCCATGGAATAAGATACATATACTTTCATCTATGCATTATTATATGTACTGAGTTGATTTTTATTTTTTATTTCCTTTCCTCATTCTGCGCGTGTCTATATTATACTTGGGTGGGTAATCAAGGTTTCTCTAATGCACGATCCAATCTGACCGTTGTTTTGGTTTTCACTGGGCTATTTTGGCCTCATGCGGCCACTAGGAAGAGTGTTTTTAATCAGATTTGGATGATGTCACTATTTTTCCTCTCATGTAAAATACCTTCCTTATATATAAACGCATATGGCACGCCACGCTCGGATATAGCTCTCTGGAACAGGATTAATTCAGTTCTCAACTAAGCTTCCTGTAAACATACTTCTTTAATTGCATGTCAGCACTTCATAGTCGATCACTCGGACACAGTGGCATCATGGATTATCACTCGACTCATATGCGCTCACCATATTTAGCACAACCGTGTCGGGGTTGGCCAATAGCCGGGAGAGCTTAAGGGTCTGGCTAAGTGGTGACTATAAATATGTGTGTAAACGCACAGGTGGAAGGATGTCAGCTTAGAGCTGTAGAGAATCAATGAGTTCAAATGAGATAACAGAAAATGATAAACCCCGGGGGCTGCGTGTAGTCACCATGAATCACTCGTTGTAATTCCCAGATGAGTTGTTGGATATTTGGGGCTTCAAATGACAGCTGTCCGATCCGTGACTATATACCTAGTCAGTTTCTTTGTCGAGATTACTCACAATCAAGTTACTTAACTGTCTCGTCCTCGTCCTACCTTTTCGACATAAGTATAGCGCGGTCTGGTGGGTTGGACAGCTGAATAATGTATCCAGTCGCGGGAGCTGCAACCGCAATGCTCGTGGGTTATGTTGGATGGTGTAAATTGGGATGGGGGCTGGATTTGATTTGGCGGGGTTCGGAGTGGTCGTCTTGGGTGGGGCACAGGGGATGGTAGAGGGGGGAGTGGGTGGGGTTGCTAGAATTACGATTCCCGGCCATCTAATTAAGTACTTAACGGGTAGAGCTAGATCGAGTCTAGGATTCTGATCTGAGGTATTGGAACTATGTATGCATCGCGTTGCTAAAGACACTCCTCATAGTTATATGGCCGCGGGAGGGAGCTCGAGGTACGTACCGACCGGATTTGTTTGAAGACCGGATACGTATACATCCATTCCATTCCATTCCATTTTCCGGCGAAATGACAAGTGTCTCTACTTTCCATATTATCGGAAGGGATTGAAGGACTCTCAAGTCCCAGAAGCTACTTAGCTGCCGGGTGATCGGGCTAATGTGACTGATGTGGGCGGAGGTGCATCGTGGAAGCTCACTCGGTCGTTGTGTGTTATCGGTCTGCATTTACGCGTGTTGATTGTGGGCATTCTCGCAAGGTCAGATTACGATGTTGGGGGATTGGAGGAGACTTTATGTGCTCTGGCTTGTCTACACTCTGTCTTTATTGTGTGCAAAGTGTTGTTTCGAACCAGATCACCTTGGAATACACAATTGAGCTCACTCGAGAAACACAAATTAGAGTCAACAGTGCAAGGCGTACAAGATTGATCGTGGTCATATTCCAGCCAGATAGTACTCCACAACTAGATAAAATCCATGTATCTGAATACATATCTGCCATACACCAAGCCACAACACATCTCCTAGCTCCACCACTCTATCGATTCCTTTCCCAGCCCTGCCTCGGCCCCCACACGTCCCCCGCTTCAAACGTCAGTCGAGTAATGAATTGTCCACCCACCACCCACCGCTACTATAGCTCCAAGATACCCCTCGATCGCACTCTAGACCCTAGCCTGCACAGGCCTGTGTTTCAACTGTCGCTTGACATTCCAATTAGATGTTTCTGCCCTCTGGCTGACGATTCGCTGGGCGCTTTTCTTTCCGCCATCGCTCAGTTGCTTGCTGGACATCTGGCTGGGGTTTCCTTTTGAGGGCACGGCCTGCTTGTTGCTTGGGCAGAGGATGGTGTCTCTGGGCGAGTGTGGAGGATGCTCGGTCTGGGAGGGTGTTAATTGGCATCATGCGGCGGGGAAGAGTAGCAGCGAGCGAGCGAGCGGGAGGGAGAGAAAAAAGAGCTCGAGAACCTACCACACCGTAAAATCTGAACACCTTTGGATTCTCGCCTGAAACCGAGTAAATAACACGAAACGGGCCCTGCTTACCTGCTGGAGCCTGCACTCCCGCGGTCTGCCGCACCCCGCATATTACGTTGGTACTACCCCAAGCCACCCATGTGCGAACAGAGGAAGGAGAAAACAAAAAACTCTTACCACAGTAGGCGGATCCCCACTCGGCATGATCGGAAACTCATACAGCTCGCCCGGCGCACCGGCGATCATTGGCCCGCGTGGCAGCCACTCCGCGCGGTTCTCGTTCTTGAACGTGCGCGGGTACTTGTTGAAACCGAACTGCAATGCCTGACCATTGACCGCCACCGCCGCGGCCTTTTCGAGGGTGTTTCGAATCATGGCGTCGGTGAAGAGGAGGGAGCCCGGGTGCTTGACGGCGTCGGTGGGCAGTGCCATGGGGCGGGGGGTGAAGTTCTCGGCAGGGGGAGTGTGACCGCACCATGCCTGCGAGACTCGGGGGACCTCGATGGTGTATTTGGGTGCGGACTTTGAGGAGTCTTGGGGCCTGGTGTTGGCGGAGGCGATGCTGGAGAGGAGGGGAGTGTTGGCGCGTTTGGAGAGGACGAGGGCGCTGGAGGGGTCGACGAGGAGGAGGAGGGTGGGGAGGAGAGAGAGGAGCGAGGAGGATGTGGTGAACTTCATGGCTTGGGAAATGAGAGTTGGTAAGATAAAATGATCTAGTAGCCGGTACTTGATAAAGAAAATAGGTGAATGAATGTGTGGTGATCAGGCGTGCACGTGTAGAAAGAAGAAAAAAAAGAGTGTATATATCAGAGCCTGCTGATGATGATAATGAATGAGAAGAGAATACTTAGTTGCCTGCACAATGGACGGAGGAACAGGGACGGTCGAGCGGTATATACCATGATTGAGATTGAGGGTGTACAAAATGTCAAGGTGGGTGCAATTTGATAACGTGACAAGGCACTTGTATTTATTAATATTATCGCGGATGATTTTTATTTTATTTTCCACTTTGACCCTCTATTTATAGTTGTGAAACCTTTCCTTCATGGTCAGAGTACTAGAGAGAGTTCCAGAAAGTGAAATTATGCAGCTCTTTTGCGAAATATCCGGAAATCAAACTGCATGAAAGGAAAGAAAAAGGAATAAAGAAAAATAAAATGAATAAAGAATTTCCGGAAAGAAATAACAAATTTCCCGAAAGAAAATGAACAATGGATTTGACGGGAAAACAGACTTATTATATTCGTCAGCTTTTAGTCTTCCCGAACCTTGCCTGTTCCAGCAAAAAAGACCCCCGAACAGTTCTCAACCACCATGCAGATGTCTCTGGCGCACATCCGGCCGGATTGATGGCCACCACCGGGCTGAGGGGGTTTGTTACAGCCGCTTTGTGTTTTGAAGAGGACTACAACAGCTTCACCGTGTAGTAATATAAAACTGACGATGTCTGTATGAGGGAGTGTATCTATAGCTTGTATATATAGAAGGGGGGAAGTTTAAAACATCGATCCCGTTAATGCGAAGTATCAGTTGAAACGGCGGATCGAGTACTATAAGATTGAAACATGCACCTAGTTCCCGGGGATAAGTTGGGCGATTAATTAATCGCGGAAAGGTACATCATGTGCTGTTACCATTGACCGTACGAATATGTGCGGTTTTGCTAGAAGGGCTTCATGGTATTATAGTTAGATGAGGGCTATGAAAATCAAGGAAAGATAGAGGGTTTCACAGGTATTTGAAGCAAAATCACAACGGATACAGGTTGGACGTATTGAGTCAATTGGGGAACTGTTAAGAATGGCCATAAACTACATGCACTACTACGTACTTACGTAGATCAATACATCATTTACACACATGTGGCTGTTTTTCTAGCGTTTTGAGTGTACCGAAAGTCTGTATAAATATACTGATAATTGCCTATAGATATATATATCCGCGTGCGTAAAGAATGATATGAATGTGTATGTATGTCTAGAGTATATACGGCCATATTGGTCCCGGCAAGGCGGGTGTAGAAAGGCACAAGAAACAACACAGGGAACTCATATAGGGCTCTTAATCATTATGAAACCGTCATGTCAATATTATAGTATATATATACAGTACGATGCCAGTCGTGAGCGTCAGGCGCAATCAGATTTCCACAACCTTTTCACGGCGGGTTGGTACACAAGATATTAAATGTCAAATTATTGTTATTTATCTACTATACAAAAATTCAGCTCTCCAAAGGATCAATTGTGGTTGCTGTGCTGGTACCCGTGATGGTTCGGGGGGCGTTGCGACGCCGCGCCTGACGCTCACGACTGGCATCGTACTGTACATACATATAGCATGGACCATGCAATATGGATTATATTACTTCAACTCTCCAATTAAACGTCGTTCATCAGCCACCGTATATATAACCTGCATGCGCAAGCACATATACAAGTAGCCACATGCACATCATACATATACCACAACAGGCGCCGGATGGGTGTAGACGTTTGATCAAGCTTTCGGTGTCCAGAGTAGGCGCTGCAGGGGGGCGTATATAGCTACTTGTATATAAAATCAGTCTAATCATGTGCGTGCCACGTTGCGATGCACCGGGATCGATCGTATCTGTACTCAACAACGGTACGGGAGCAGTGTAACGCAGTGAAACCTCGGTGCTGGGTCAAAGTTAATTACATCCTCTTGGTGTATCTCTGCTTGTAGATACTGTGGTACACATGCACTCGTCCGGCTGTGGCTTAGTTGTGGGGAGCGCTTGGGTACACGTAGTACTCTAGGAGTAGCATATGGATATCTACTTCATGTATCTACTATAAGAATATATATATATACGGCTTCATGCGTGTTAGCCAATATAATATGATTTTAGTGTTTGCCGGATGGAAGGGCGGCCGATGGGAATTATCTTTGGCTCGCTACACAGAGCTTTATATCAGCTGTCGTGATGAGTGTTACATGTACAGGGGTCTATATATATGGGATGATTTAACCTCATAATAAGAGTTTATATACACGCACATATACCGCCGGTCATATCTTCGAGGAGGTGAAGGTGAATACGTCTTCCTTCTAGGTACCTACTATGTATATATATGGTTCTCTAATCTCTGAATGCCTGCCGGATGATTTGTGGGGGCAGTATCAATTTTATAGTTTCAGACCCGGTACACGTGCAGGTTTTTATGATGATGTACTTGCACAACAAATACTGCTATAAGAGCATTCAGGTTATGCAGGAACTCACCGCTTGATTAGGTGGAGGTAGGTATTGGAAAGTTGGATATGTGCAGAAGCAGGATCGATACGATCCAACGTATATAAGAATCCGCCGTGGAGTTAGTAGAAGAGGCTATAAATATCAGATGAGCTGAAATCGGAGAGCCCCACCAAAGATTCTCCATCTCTTTAATTATCATTGAAGTAGCTAGATAGTAAGTCATAATTAATTATTGAATGAATCGTGACCATTAGCGGCATGATCGAACGCTCCGCCGTCCATAGTGGAGGTCGGCAAGAACATCAATTTGCATTGCGCTTCAGACTCACTACCTAAGAGTCCTGTCGCGCGACTAGTAACGTGGTAACTGGAAGCCATGCCCTAACCCTAATGGCTTGACACAGTCAATAATCGAATATCATGTTCTCGGATAGGGTTAGGGTTACTGGAATGATTTTTTTTTTTTTTTTTTTTGGTTTAATTCATACTCGCATTCAACCTTTCAGTTATAGCGGAGTACTCAATCTACAGTACAAGTACAGGGTTTCACCCTTTATGCCTACTAGTGGCTCCTTTCAGCAGGATTTGGAATACCACAACCAGTTCAAGGCCAACACTTATACCTACTAGCCACATTCCATTACCAGTCTGCATGCCCCCTTTTGGCACCAGGTACATGGAAAACTCTCTCCATGAGTAGAAAGCATCCCATAAACCAAGTCAGGAAAAAAACCCACGATTATTATCACCTGGTTCACCGCTCCTACAGCATTCGAATCTACGACCTCGTACAACTTTGGAAAATTTACTCATCGGGAGAACTTGGCTACCTGGAAGCCTACCCACTCGGTTATCTATGGGCTACTGGAATGATATCAGATGATAGCTGTAGGTAAAATAAAAGTTTGTATGAACTACGAGACTGAAATAAGAGGGTAATTCGCAAATAGAGGGTATGAGAGTAATAGATTGAAGAGAGATGGTACCACTTGCTATGGGAGGCCTCCGGGAAATCCAGAGTCAATCGGAGCATGAACAATTTGAACCACAGGTATAGAAATGTGAGGATGAAATGAATTGTGTACAGTCGCTCACCCGCTGATGGCGGATCCTATATGGTGGTTGGTGTCGCGCTGGCGTGCTGGAGTGCAGGAGTGGTGGGGTGGTGGGTGGTGTCGAGCTACCAATGCTAGTGTAGTCCCACTCGTTGCACCATGAAAGCGGCATTACCTGTACATGTATGGATTAAGACGCAGTTCACTACCTACTTGTTTATATTAGTTTGCGGTTCAAACAATGAAATAGTAGTCCCCTTCAAATCCCTCCAACATCGCCACCACCATCAATGACAGACACTCCTGAGCCACTTCATAGCTATACAGCTACTGGCAGAGTCAGAAAAAAACCTTTAAAAGATTCAGTACCTGAAAAGCCATTAGACCCTACACAGAATCCCTACTATACTGTTTGCAAGAGCACCCAGAAAAAATATAAAAATTGCCCTACCTGTTACCAACACTTCAGTTACTGGCTAGACCCTCCTAGAGCTATTTGGCAAGATATCCTGCATTTTACTACTGTTGCCAAATATCCAAAATACCAAGAAGCTAGAGATACTCTTAAGAAAATAAGTGATGGAAAACCATGAGATATTTTCATTATTGTTATTTTTTATATATTGATTAATATTAATATTTGGAATAGAAAATGCAAAATAACAAAAGTAGAAAGTTAGTGCTGCAGGATGGAGAGATCACAACACTTGGAAAGCTAAACGGGCTTCATTCAGAGGTGGAGCAAAGCTTAAAATTGAAAGAAACTTGAGGTGTGAAGGGAGGTTTTCAGAGGAAAAGCTAAACAAATTACGTGAGGATAAAATGACTGAATGGGATGCAAATAATTAAATGTATTATTAAATTCAGTAGTATGAATTTATTTATATCCGGATTCGGGTATTCTATTGATAATACAATTTGAATAATAATTTCCTAATAAATACTTGATGAGTTCTCAGATTCTAAACTCTTACAACTAGATTTCAGTTACTGTTAGAAGCAGATTTTCCGATCTCATTTTGAATTCCAACCTTATTTGACCATTTCTTCAAGTGTGAATTAGACTTTTCATTTGCTTTATTTCTTTTTAGTTTTAGTTCCAACAAAATCTCCCCTTTTTCTAAAATACATCCTGAATTTGTATTCAGTCTTCGCTTATTCTAATAACAGTGATAATTAAATTTGTTAGTATATGAATTAGTATTATTATTAAATAAAATTGATATTTAAACTCTTGACTTACCGGTTTCGCTTGGGTAGTAACCTTTTTTATTTGATCGCGAAAGTGATTTGAACCTGCTTCATACATGACTGTTCTTGCTGCCCCTTTTCCGCCCCATTTTGAGTTTGCTAAATAAAGTCCGTTGCTTAACAGATCGAGGACTGCTAAAGTTGAT